ATTTATTTATTTATTTATTAACTTATCCTAGCGTTACAAGTACGAGATTACTTTTGAGTTATTACGCTAGTCATTACATATTCATTTCGATTTCATTCAGTTAATTGTTAATTTAATTACAGGTTTAATTTAGTTTAAATTGACATTTAATATTACAATTACATTTAAGAGTTTCACAATTTGCCTTAGCTTTAATTATTATTTCTTATTTTATATTAATAGTTTACTTAAATTAATAATTATTATTGATAGATCTATTGACTCCTCTGGCCTCTGACCACACTTGGCTGTGAGACGAGACATAGCTAGCCGACAGACACATAATATTCCCCCATCGGCGCAGAGGCGTCAATTAGATATAATTGTAATTTAATTATTTTTCTTCAACGTAGGCTTTCCCAGCTTATAAGGCTTTTTCATATAATGTGTAGTAGTACGTGTATTATTTTCCTATATCGACAGTCAATGTTTGTTGACATAAATATAAATAAATACATAAACACATAAAAGCTCACTTTCCTGTGTAGATCTGTATGATTATTTACTTGTTAAGATGTTAGCTCCCCTTATTAATTATTAATATTTATATTGGATATCTGTACTAAGGAGATACCAAGTGAACTTTTCTTAAAAGCTCAATGTTAAAGCCAGCTTTCTAGCACTTATAGCTTAAAATATACTTGAAGTATGATTTGCACGGCTGCTAGAAAACTCATACAGACGTAAAGGAAGAAGAAATGTTTTAAAATTTGTCGAAAACAAAAGAAAAACATAGTAGAAAAAATAACATTGCAAATGAAAGCTGATGCTTGGCGGGCAGACCAAAAATAGAAAATAACTCAAATGGGGAAAAAATTAAATGAAAACTTTTCATCTTCAGCTTTGTTTTCCTTGCATTTGTTTGTACTTCAGTTTACGTTGCCGTGCTTTCTATTTCAGCGCACTTTTCAAATACGTTTTCTTTTATTTTGCTATGTCATAATTATAATTTTATTTTTATGACTCTGTTGCCAATTTAAAACGCGTAAGTAGTGAATTTGTTCTCTGCTAACTTGTTACAAATCAGCGATGCATATTACAAATTTATTTATGAAACTAAATTAATGAAAACATATAAAACTTGGGTACATCACAATACATAGAAAATAAAATGTTTCCTTAAAGCCATACTTATAATTATATAAATATTTATTTAATATTTTGTTTGAATGTTTATTCATAGTTTTCATTCATCAAGGAACTGCTATCTTTGCAAGAAAATCAATAAAAATATATGTAAAATAATAAGAAGAAAAAAAACTTATAAATATACAAAAGAATTCAATATATTACATAGTATACCTTAAAATAAAATACAAAAAGTGAAACAATTAGTGCAGTAAAATAGGATTAGACACTGTCTGAATCAATTTGCAAGTACTAATGATGAAATAGTACTCGAAGGATATGCTGTCTGAAAAAAGATTATAATTAGAACACAACACACGGAAGGGTTCGTGTGAGGCAAAGTTAGATCGACAAATAGGCAATCGAAGGATACGAAATGCTTGAGTAAATCTCAAGGGAACTGCCAAAACTACGAGGCCAAGAAGGAAAGGGGAGTCTATTAGTTTTAATCTAGATCTATAAGAAGGCAAGCGACAGTGTGGTTCCCAATTCAGATCCCAAGAGCAAACAGCAAGAATGCTTTTTGGACAGATTCAATCAACATTTATTGTTCATTGTATTGTGGGCTCCATACACCAGAGGAATATTCTAAGATATTATATTATTCATATTAGTTAATTCACTTTAAGTTAAACTAGATTTTTATTACCAATTATTAAATTTTATATTCATTCATTTACTGAAATAGTTCATAGCCATATGTTTAAGGTAAAGGGTCGGCCTATAATTCATGTTGTACTTTCTTTAGTTAAACAATATTAATAAGCTTATCTAAAGCTTGTTGTAGCGATGAGCCAAGCCAACAATACTCAGTAAACATACGGAACTTTTGAACATTGAAATACTAAAGTATACATATGTGCGGTGATTCTTGGGTAAGAAGATTCAACCACATTTCTAAGAAGATCCATTCTACTTTGTCGGACCTAAAAGGAAAGACGCTGCTGCTCATTGAGATCGGCCTTTTTTAAATAAGTAAAAGCTCTTGGTTTAGCATCATATTTTATCTATACTTCTACAAGTATTACAAGTGAAATAAACACATTGATGCTTCTTGAAACAGTTAGGCTTTTGTTTTCGGTTACTTAAAATAAGATAAGTAAATTGTGTTCACACTTGCCCATCTCTTCCCATATTTCGGACAAAACCCACATCTCATGCCTGGTAAAAGACAAGTTCCCACACTACCCTACCAATTTCCACGACAGTCCATATATTCTAGTCAGTTGAACAATAGGGCTTTTGTGCTTAAATTCGGTTTGTCGCAAAGGCGAATGGCGAAAACAAAAAATTGCTGCCTACTTGGAGGGTTGTCAACATGTTATTCCCATACCGTGCGCAAAGGAGAAAAAAGAAGGAATAAATTGATGAATTTTTGTTTGTGCCATAGAATTTTGGCATTTGCATTGGGTTGTAGATGTAGTGGCATTCGAAAGACTTTTAGATTATTAAAAAATGTTACAATGGGACTCCTATAAACACACACACTTGTACACACAAGCATTCCGCTTTCCAGCTTTGACATTTGCCAAATTAAAGTGAGTTGTGGCTTCTACTACTGCAGCAACAATTTTTGGGACTGTCTTCGTGATGTTTTCCTTTTGCACCTTTTGCATTAAAAATTAATTCGTGCAGAAAATGTGAAAAACAAAGTGGAGTTCGGGTGTGAGTTTCTGTTTTTGTCTCTTCTAGGCAGGGTGCGAAAAAATGAAATGCGAAATCAGTGCAGACAGCGACACGACACTTTTGTTGACAGGACGTTAAGTCAACATGCGGCTTAGCATTAATTTGTCGCATCAGCATGAACGGGGCCGGCGCTTAGGTGGAAGGATGGAAACCACAGCATGCCATGCATTTTTAATTCCCCGGACGTAGACTTCGGATCTAGGGACGTTGCCTGGCAAACGCCTGTACCCGAATTGTTTTATTGTCTTCGACGCTGGCAAAATTAAATGATGAAACATTTTGCCGCCTTGTTGCATAATTTCATTTCACTGCAAGCGCAGCAAAGCCACCCGAGCGAATGAGCCTTAGTGGTCTGACTACGGGTTTATGGATGCATTACCAAGCTGGTCTCTTAATAAGCTGTGAATTGTTATACATGGTTGACGGAAGAGTTAAATTAAGATGGAGGGATTGTATGTATTTTGTTTAATTTAATTATTTCGTGTAATAATAAAACAAATATGTAAATAAATATTATGAATATATTCACAGGCTATCCCATGTATATAGTTTCCATTCATATTCAAACTACATAGTTTGCAAAAATTGCTTAAGAGTTCCAAAACCGACGTGCCGATGATAACAATTGCATATCCAGTCCCGCTCTAGAAGACATCAACAAGTTGTATTTTTTTTAAATACTCCGAAAAGCTTAAATTCCCACAGCATATTATTGATGAGTATTAACTGCAACTATTTACAGTTTCGAGGCAAATTTTGGGGGACATTTTTTTGAAGTTTCCTAAACTAAGATACTTCTGAATATATATACTAGTATTCTGTCTTTGGCTAACCACAGAATGCTCCCCTAGTGCTTTGTCCCCTCATAGATTTATATTCGGGTACGTGAATGCCTTCATTCCCGCATTTTCTTCTGTCCAGCAGGAGACTATTCTCTACTACTTAATAGATGCACAACTTATGCATTGCCAAATATTTGTAGAGCTGTATAGTAGGCTTCAATTATAAAGAGCTTTCTGAGTGAGCTTTCTCTGTTTATCTCTCGCTCCCTCCTTTCCTCTCTTCTCTGTTTCTCACTACAAAAGTCTTACTGAACTAAGTAGAATATCTTGTCCCATCAGACTGAGGGCTGGCAATTGTTTTTCCTCGTGCGTCTAGGGTAAGGGTATTTCAGCTCATAATGTTCTATAATATCATGCGTATTTAGTCATGTATGTCATGTGTTAACAGCCAATATTTTTGACTTATTAAATAAATAAATAAAAAGGTGAAACAGATTAATAATCAATGTTAAAAGGGAATTTAAAATTTTTATAAACGTGGACGGGAAAAAAATTTAGGGAGGCACAAATTTTTGGGTAAATAAATAAACAAGCCAAATCAATAGAATTCAATAATATACAAGTACTAAATAAAACAGGAACATATTTATTTTCCAGGCGTACGTAGCTCGATTCTTGAAAGAATTTACACCTTTTTTGTCCAAAAACAATCTTCTAAGTTGTTATATATACAAAACACATTTGGATATTTTTTTTCAGTGTAGTTCTAGTACAACTTTCCAGATTTCACAATATTTTAAAACGCTAACCGATCGTATTTGAAGCATTTTCTGCACACAGACATTTCTTTGTGTTATTACTTTCTCAAAAACCAAAAACAACAACGGGCAAAGAAAGAATTGACAACTTTTTTGTCCAAAAACAATCTTATAAGTTGTTATATATACAAAACACATTTGAAAGAATTTACACCTTTTTTGTCCAAAAACAATCTTCTAAGTTGTTATATATACAAAACACATTTGGATATTTTTTTTCAGTGTAGTTCAAGTACAACTTTCCAGATTTCACAATATTTTAAAACGCTAACCGATCGTATTTGAAGCACTTTCTGCACACAGGCGTTTCTTTGTGTTACTACTTTCTCAAAAACCAAAAAAAACAACGGACAGGGTCCAAAAGTGTCCAACTCTACATAAAATCTGACTAAAGCATTATTCACCCAGTTCTCTAAACGGCCTATGCTTATCTTATCAACGCAACATACAGGTATTTGCAGAGAGCGCACTGATTATATGCAATGGCTGTCTGGGGAGGCACCTGTACGCTGGAAAAGCTATCAGTCAGTACGAATAGAGTAGCAGGTGGAGCAAGGTACATAAGTATTACGAGAAAACATTTAACAAAATTTTGTACCTGAAAAGAATAAACCTTAACATAAGTTGCTATAATTGAGAAAACATATTGTTAAGAAAAATAATTATAAAAAAAGTGTGTAATCAGATGATGTGATCGAATGTGTGTGCCGAAATCTGAAGAATATTTCAAATAGTTAAAAAGTGTCGCAACGTTTTGCATGACTAATGCAAAAGTCTCCAAAATGTTCACCAAGTGTACAATCGACATGAATTGTGCAATCATAAACACAAACAAATGAGTGCGCCGCTATATCAACTAAAAGTTACAAAGTCTACAAAAATATCGAATTGCCTTGGAAAACGCCCTATTTCTCAACGTGTTAATAATAGCAACCTAACCATTTAATACAGTTTAAAATCTATACACAACCATATCTTATCAGCAGTGCTTAAATGGCATTTATGGGCGAGCTGGCTCGTAAAATATACAAGTAAAAACTAAATGGTGCCGACTTTGCAAACGCAAAGGTGCCCCACTTACTCGTATTTTGCGCCTTACTTCGGCATTTTTGGAGTGTTGACCAATATCGACCTACGGTATTAGTGTTTCACGTCCCAAACTGACAATCAATGTATACATAGACGCAAGCTGATAAAAATTATCTGATAAGCACTGTTAGATCTGCCATATATCAATACCAATCGTTTAACCTGACTCATGTTTTATTGTTCGTTTTATAATCACTGAAATGATTAATCTATAAATGAGTGTTTGGACAATGACGTCAGCTTCCGGGCACGCATTTCAGATAATATTCACTCTCCAACGATTCGTTTACATTCACTCAACAGAAGATATTACTTTATTTCAATGAACTAGGAAAACCCTAAATAAATTAGATCACTTTTATTATTTTATATAAATATGATATAATATAAATATTGGGGAATCACATTACTTTGAATTTGAAGTAAAGAAAGTAACGTTGAAGTCCTACTTTACTCACGTTTTTACGCCAACTTCTTAATACTGATTTACAACATATCTTCTCTTCAACATTTATTTGTTGGCAGCACGTTTCCAATGATGTTTAGAAAGGTTTTTTTCAGATTATATTTTCTTATGTATGTATTTCAATTTAATTTTTTTCGATTTATATGGAAAACTTGTATGCAACTATTTCCTGTCTAGAGGTATACAAGGAAATTAATGATGCGGAACAAATTCGTATAGGTTTAAGAATTTACACTAAGAAAAATTAAAAAACTTTTCTTTTTCAATCTATTTTGTCAACTAATATGGGCTGTCGATATAGATATAGATAACAAATAATAATATAACTTTAAAGATAAGGAACAACAATGTCTATAAGTGCCTCCGACACGTTGGGGAATTTTTTTGCCATTTGGCCAGCTATACCCCGATTGACAGGCAAATCTGGTGAAAACGTTATTAGACCTGACGAACTAAAAAATAGTAAGAAGAGGGGAAATTAGATTACTTAGGAAGAAAAAAATAATGATGATAAAAAAATATGATTGTCAGAGTCGGAGATCTCCCCGAAGATGGTTGTTGAGAACAGTTTTTATAAAATAAATGTAATTAAGTATTCTTTGAAGTATTTTCTTAAAGAAAATCTTTTTTTTTTTTTTTTGGTTTTAAGTTACCACGATACCCTTGGGTATTGTGGAATTATTTGGCCGCCCACTTATTGGTAAAGTGGAAAATGCCACGCGGGCGAAAGAAAATCTTTAGTATATTGCGTATGATTAACTCCAAATTTTTAAATAATGATATCTCGTACATCCCATACATACTATTTAACTTATTTTGTCATTACATATTGATATGTATATGTATATATCTCACAATATTGATAAAAGCACTGATCAGGCAACCATTCATGTCGAGCTCTTACACTTTCTAACTGAAGAGTTTTCAGTGAAAACCCACTTGGGAATATTAAGTACCGAACGACATGAACGCCCAATCGGTCTAAAATTTCTCGATTTATTTTTCATTTTTGTATGCGCTTGTGTGTCTATAAGACTAGCCCGTTAAATGTACATTTATCTGTACAAAGATAACAAATTCAAATGCTATCGCCGCACCTGCGACTTAAATGCGAATAATAGTTGGACGAGTTGGGGCGATAAGCAGGCGAATAACATACAAGTAGGCCCAATACGACCAGCTAGACCTTATCTGAATAGAAGGTATTACATATGTACACAGCACGGAAAAACTTTAGTTTAGAGCAGCAACATTTTGGGCCAGGGTCAAAGCAAGTGATAAGAAAAGGGCGACTTTAATTACGTAACTGGCCACTAAAAAGATCAGTATGGTATAATATCGGATATTGGCCAAACCTGACCTAACTTTTGAAATTTGCCTTCGCTCTTTACAGCACCCATGCAAAGCAACGACTTGAGTTTCATTTGAACTCACGAATATTGTGGACACAGTTGGACATAAAAGCCAAAGACATGCAAGTGTCTCTTTTCAGGGCAGCAGCAGCTGTCTGCCTGTTCCTGATCCTTTGCCTGGACAGAACGCAGGCGCAAGAGAACACAATGCTGCAGGTACCGCCCTCGCTGGTGGAATGCTACAATACGTCGTACTTTATGAATCGCGATAATCGCCTCCCCGCCAATATCGACACACTCATCTCATTGATCGAGAAAGTGGAAAATAACTATGACATAGCTCAGGATATCCGCCAAATTGCCGTGAGCTTGCTGTATCGTTTCCGTCAGGATGGCATCCGACGTGCGCAGAATGTGGCCCTCAGCGATGGTGTCATACCTTTCAGCCCGACGGGCTTCCAGTTTCCCAAGTTTCGCATACTCCTCTCAAGACTGCTGTCGGGCAATGCCCAAACGTTTCCCAACAGCACATTGACGAGAGTGGAGCGCTGTTCCTTGCACTTTATGCTCTCTAGCACCTTTGATACTAGAGTGCGTGGGGACGAAAGCCAGGTTTGCAGCCGCCTGTCCCAATATGTTTCCCACCGCCTGCCTCGTTCCGTGAAGAATCCGAGCCAGAGCAGCAATTTCATCAGCGATGCCGAGTGGGTGGATGTACGTCAGAAGCGTGGCCCCAAAGTCGGATCCAATTATCAGCAGTTCGGCGAGCTAGACTACAATGATGCTGACTGGACCTATTCCAGCACAGATACCCAAGGTAGCCAGTGCCCCGTCGAGGATGGTGTCATACGCACGCCTTGGGGCACGGTGTCAGCGGGTACGCTGATTGCGGGCATCGCTACTGGCCTTCAACAGCAGACGGTACAGCTACAGACCCTGCTGGCGCTGGCCACACAGCGACGCGGACGCCCACAGCAGCAGGTAACCACCGTCAGTATTGACAATCGTTGGGCCGCTACCCTGGCAGGAGACTTGGCCGAGGTTGCTCTGGTGCAGGTGCCTATGACAACTAACAATGTGGCTTCGGTTGGAGCTACAGGCGGCTGGAACGACACTGTGCTTCCCCACTGGTATTTCCTCTCTCAACGCACCAATTTGGAGGCCACTGATGCTGAGATACGCGGAGGCCTGGACGGTCTGATCATTGCCATGAACGTAGCCAATTGGCGTACGCAGGCGTCTAGTCTAAAGCTGTCCCAGCTGCTACGCATGTACTACTCCCAGACGGGTGTGCTCAACTCAGGCATTATGGCCTGCACGCGGCAGGAACAGTTCCCTACTGTGGCGCCATCTGATCAACTGGCCCTCCAGACGTCGGCGTTTGCCCAGGTGCTGGACGGGGCAATGCAGCTGCGAGTCACACTGCAGCCCAGCGCAATCACCACATTCGCCGAAACCGCCACATCCGCGTTGGTCACCTATGTGCGTAAGTACCAAAACGCCTAGCTTTCAGTAAACTGTCGGGGAACCACCTGAAAAGGGTATACTGCTTTTATTGCCTCATCGCCTTCATCCTACCTCCATCCCTGAATAATGTGTAGCATTCCTTGATCTCTTCGTTTACTTGCAGCGCAATCGCTAAACGATGTGGCCTGCTCGGCCAGCAGCACACAAGACCTAGTCGATGTAATAACCCCCATGACCAACCTCTATGTCTTTCTGGATACCTCCTGGCAATACAGCACCATTGTCGACTACGTGGCGTAAGTTCTCAACTCTATTCCCCTTCGACTGATTGCCATGTCTTCCCTCTTACCTGCAGCTACGTTCTCCAGCAGCTGAACATCCATCCTTATGCCAGTAATGTAACTATGCTATCGGCCTACGATGGCTCGATCATTGTCAATACGACAAACTACATAACCGATGTGTACCAGAAATGGAACGTTACCACACAAGCCCAATGTAAGTGAAGCTAGACAACCGTTTGTGATCCGTTCTAAGCCCATCTAATTACAGTCACGCAGGGCTTTAATTTGCCAAATGTGCTGCGCAAGATTCAAAACCTGACCCAAACTCTCATGAATGGGGAAAAGACCAACTCAAGTCTGAGCGCCCATTCGCTAGTCGCGCTCATTATCCCCAATCAGGCAACCGTTAGTGACGGCGACTCCTCCTTTGCCACGACCCAGCTGCAATACATATATGAGCAGATTCCTGACCTGCGATTTATCTACTATGGTGGTGGCAGTATTCAGCGCTTCTCCAGCTTCGTGCGCGACTCTTCGCGCGATCTCTTCCAACTGCAATTGGGTAGCTCCGTACCCACCTCGGCTGGACCCGTTGCCACTCGCATTGCCAAGAGTAAGAGAACGTTTTCAGCCAGTCCCAGCACAGCACACTTAGTAAATCCCTCTCCTTATAGTACCGCGTCGCATCATCAACCCTCGCTGCGGATCCAGTTGGATCACACCCAATTGGGGCACCGATCAGATTGCGCAATATGAACGGCCCGGTGTGGTAAATTTCTACCGCGTTGCCTCTAATTACTTCTTTGGAAATGGCGCGAATCGTGTATTGACCATTCAATCCCAGAGTGGCGGCACCTTCACCATCTGCACATCGCGCACCAACGAATGGCCCATTCAAAACTCAACCACCACTGGCAGCAGCAGCTCGACAAGTCAGACCTGTGTCCAGATTACGAGCAACTCCTACACCTACGATCTGTCCACTGCCTGCGATGGCTACTATACCATCACGCAATGTCCGCCTCTCTATCTGTCGGTGCAGACCGCCTCGGTTTCGAACGGTGGCCAGCAGACTGTATCCTGCACACAAAACGCCTGCCAAACGCCCGATCAATGGCAATTCGTTGTCTCCATGGTCAACATGGGCTGCTATAGTGGCGTGGCGGGCTTGGCCGCCAGCCTCTTCACCGTTATCCTGGGCCTGGTGCTGCTGCAGTCGCTGCACTGAATAGTGCCGGTAGTATGTATAAGTGGAGTCAGTTCAAAGTTACAATCCCAATCGTTACAGCATTCATCTTAAATTATTATTAATATTTTTTATCTATTGTAAGCCTACAATGCAATAACAATAAACTTTCAACCATCATCTAATGAGGACTTTTAATTGCAATTTCCTACCCAACTCTGGTTCCCGACAGTCTTCTGACCTTTAGCATTTATTTTATTTGTATATAATCTTACATCTTCCTTCCAGAGACTATGGATTCCTTCCAGTTCGAGCGATGGTCTGATATTTCAAATATGACCACCGTGAAGAGCAATCTCTTCGTTTTTGTGGACACATACTGGCCCTACAGCTGGGTCGTGGACTATGTGGCGTAAGTCAATCAATCAGTCCTAGCATGTTTAAAGTTTGGCCAGTACTACTTATATTAGAACACACATTCGGAAAAAAATAAGTATTTTCTAAAACTAACAATGCATTAAATTTGATTAATTTTCTCTTCTTCCACTGCACATACACCAAGATGTAATTAAAATTGTTGTTGGTTTTAGTTTAATTGTTAATATCAGCATTAAAAAAAAATACCAATATACATAGGTATATAAAAAGTGATGATACATTTAAAGAGAATATTAGGAGAGACCAAAATTGGGGAATAAACAAAACATAGAAAACTTAACAGGCAAATCAAGAGTAAAGGATAAGAGATGTTGAAGGATCTGTAATCATGTGTTCAGTAGATGGTGTCGAGGCATAAGCGCGTTCTTCAATTCCATAATAGTTTCTTTGGAAACTAGGAATGCATCGTTACGAGTATTACGTAATAATAAGATACATTTTTTTGTGAAAGCCTGTTTATTTATTTATATATTTCATAGATCAAGAAATAGTGTTGTCAATACTAATATTTAGTTATAAATTAAACTTCACAAAAATAACATAACATAACATAACATAGCGTAGGCAATTGTGTATCTAGACAAGATGAATGGAATATAATGCCTTGTTGCTCCACAACGAACTGAAAAGTTAAGGCGAGTTAAGAGAGCTGAGGAGTCAACCTCACCAATAACCAATTTGTGGAGAAAAACTACTCCAAGAACATTACTACGATTTACTGAAGAAGGAAGGCTTATTAGGACGATGGCAAGCAAAGGCTGGGATCCACGTAAAGCAAAAAGAAATAATTTCTTCCGAACAGACTCAACACGTTCCTGATGCTTTCTATGCTGCGGACACCAAGCACAGGACGTACTAGAGCAGTGTAAAGAAGCTTAGAGGTATAAGGGTCATAAAAATCCTTGGATCAACGTTTAATGAATCCAGGTAAACCATCGACAATACTAGAGATGTGAAGGTTGAAATTCAATTTGGAATCAAAAAGAACCTCTAGGTCTTCAACAGTCGATATACGATAAGTCCCCTCACAACTTTGAAAACTAACGCGTGCTTATCATTAAAATTTGGAAATGGTTTCAAGAAGCTTAAGAATGTCATCATTTTAGTGGTTCTTCATTACAAGATAACCTTTTCATAATTACAGCTATGTGCTACAAAATCTAAACATACATCCTTATGCCAGCACAGTCACACTCTTTGCCGCCTCCGATGGATCGATGATTGTGAACACGACCGACTATATTCTCGGATTGTACGAGCAATGGAATGCAACCACGCACTCAAGACGTAAGTATCGAGGACAACTAGTGGCATGATTATGTAATTTCTAGCTTGCTCTTGATTCTCAGATCAGACTGGGTTCAATTTACCCATAATATTGAACACGGTGCAATCACATGTGGATCAACTGCTGGCCACAGAGAGCGCTTCCGGCAACTTGGGCGGTCGATCGCTGGTTGCCTTGTTGGTGCCCAGTCCCATATCGTATGTGGACGAGCACGACTATGACTACTGTCGCCGTTATATTGACAGATTGGGGTACAGTTTACCCAACTTGCATTTCATTTACTATGGAGGCGGTGCGCTGGTGCGCTTCCATGACTTTGTCCGCGCTCCTAGCGAGGATCTGTTTCTACTGAACACGGAGCTGCCACCGGAGAAGTGCGGTGCGCCGGTCATAAAACGCATACGACAGGGTAACCTTAAAACAACAGTCGCCTGAGGCTTAAGTCTAATCCCTTACATGTTTCGCAGTCCCACGCCGTATCTCAAATCCACGCTGTTACTCAACTGGGGACATCACCACTAATGACATCACTTCCCTGGAGCAATATGCGCGGCTGGGGAGCATCAACTTCTATCGCCTGGACTCTCTTTATACACCGGGCAGGCAAAGCATGCGCTATCTGAAAGTTACTCCCATCAGTCAAGTGGCCTTTATGGTTTGCACCTCCCGAAGCATACCGCTGCCCTTTCGGAATGCCTCTGCGCCCTTGCGTGCTGAAGAAACGTGCGAATCGACCGAGCTTGGTTCCTATAGCTACGATCTGACAGATGCATGTACGGGCTACGACTACGAGCCTTGTCCGCCGCTTTATTTCTCCGTACAAGCACAGGGCTTTGGCGACGTCTCGTGTACCCAACCTGCTTGCCAGACCCCCGACGAGACGCAGTATATCATCAATTTCAGTAATTTGGGGTGCAATGGCTCCTCCACATGGCTTTTGTCCTACATTCCACTTCTTTTATCTGTCATAATTAGTTTTAAGGAATAACATATTGCTAATTGTGGCGAATCCTTAAAATGCAACGTATTCTGGTTTTCGCAGCCTACGCGTCTGTCCATCCATCCAGTGGTATGTGGATATCCCACCACGTGTTTAGTCAATACGCCATCTTGTGTTCATTTTTAGAAATAAGTTTGCATTAACTTAAAACAGGTTCGTGTATAAGATATATTTGTTCGACTTTCTTCTGAAAGGTTGTTGCTATGAGACGCCGCATTCATTTCTACTTAAACACATTAAGCAAGAATGGAATGCTGGGGCCGAGTGAGCTCATCTGCTAAACCTCTGCACTGAAAAACAATTTTAAAAATATGTCATAACTAATTGCTAATTGCTCAAAATAAAACTAAACAAGTGTAGAAGCTAAAGTCCCGTTTTGAAATCTCCACCCATACAAAAATTTAAAAACTAACGAAATTGTAATGCTGCAAAAATAATTTGTGTAAAGGGTGTATAACTGCACATTTACATACATAGGAACCACGAGGTTAGTCCCTAAAACATCGAGCTTTTACACCTAAGATATTATGCCGTTACCTAAAGGGCAAGCGGAAAAAGCTTGACAATTCGGAAAGTTTTCACTCTTGTTATTGTAGCTGGCTATAATTTTATTTTTTGCTTATTGGCAACACTGACTTAAACAGCAGTCTCGTTCCGGACTGAGCACAGTCCGAGTAGATTTAAATCAGTTCTTAAAAGTCAATGCTATGCAATGCAACTGCTTAGCTTAGTGCTCGCTTTTAGCCTTGTTGCGTTCTCGCACGGCTTTGCTGACGAAGCGATTTTTGAGGATGAGGACATTTACAATCAGGCACTTCCACCAGTGCCGCACTCGGGCATTACGGCCCCAGGCACTAAGTGGTGCGGACCAGGGAATACGGCTTCAAGCTACGACGACCTTGGCCGAGAAAAGGAGACAGACAAGTGTTGTCGTGCCCATGACCATTGTCCTGAGATTATGGAGTCGCAGACGACGCTGCACAACTTGCCCATAAATACGGATTGGTTTCCCATGTAGGTTTCAAATTTTGCAAAATCAATACTTTTCAATCACAACTTATTGTGCAGCTTGAAGTGCACGTGCGAGCAGGAGTTCATCAATTGCTTGCAACAAGTGAATACCGTTACGTCCAATACACTGGGCAGGATCTACTATGGCACACGGAAAAAATGCTTCGCAGAGGGCTATCCGACCACGGGCTGTAAGCAGTACCAGGCGGGCACTTTTCGTAAGCGCTGCATCCGCTATAACGTGAACAAACGAAGCGCCAAGGTCTGGCAGTTCTATGACATGCCCTTCTATACGATTCCAGCAAGCAGCTGACCCTGCGAACTGTAGCTTGAACTTGATGGCGCATTCCCCGATTTGTTTTTGAAATACAAGTATAGTATATATGTATGTTGTAGAATTTCCAATATATACCACATGTAAAAAACATTTGCTTATCGCAGAACTGCGTCTTAATTAGATTCCTCTCATGTTTCCCCCTCCTAAGCTACAATATGTGTGTAGAACGCCAGATCGTAAAACTGCCACTGCTTGGGCCGAGTCTCATCCACGAGGTAACTGACACACCGCTTCTGAAATGAGTCCCATTGGTGTTCCTGGCATGATACAACGGGATGTCCATGGGCAAAGCACACAGGGGTTGAGCTAAAGTATATACGACCCAAGGCGGCCGATTCCATGTTGTGCAGCGATGTCAGGCAGTTGCGAAAGATAGCCTCGCAATTACATGAAAAACTAGGCAGCATATTCAAAAAACAAAATATTTATATTCAGTATTCGATAGCAATTACTCACATGGGAAACATTCTGTCATTAGATAGGCCATAAAGTTGCTTTTGTGGTGAAATTCTCTCCGTGCAATGATCGTGCGCCCTACAACACATGTCCAACTCAACCTCTGTACCCAAGTCGTCGTAACTGTCGGCAATGTTACCAGGACCACACCATTTCGTGCCCGGCACAGTTATTCCAAAGCCAAGACCCAAAGTGACAGTATGGGCGCAGATAAGAAAAACCAAAATACCAGACTGCTTGAGAACAATCATCTCTCTCAGCGGTTGAACAATTACTAATCAGAAGTACCGCCGAGCATTTTTAAATTGTACGATATTGGGCGATTAAAATACGCTGAGTGTCTCTAAAAGTGAGGACTGAGCAAGTGATTAGTGTTGCTGCTTTTATTTAAAATACATAATCAGGTGGAACTTGCATTCATATAACTAGATTAAAGTAATTGGTATTAAAATAATCACGACGATCTACTGGGTAATTAGGAATTCCTACGCTTGTTAGATTCATCTCAATCATTCTCTTTAAATTATTCAAGTTCCATTGACAATTGAATACATATGTTGAATATTTTTGTCAAACATGCAGAATAATTTTTGTAAAGATCAGATTAAACCAAAAACAACAATCGTCTTTCTTTGAACAACTAACAAACTACTTGAAAAACAAACAATTTCCATTTAAGAATCATAATAAGACAAATTTGAAAAATAAGTTTCATAAATTTTGATAACAACAAATTTTCCAAACGATTTTGCGACTCGATTTACTTCAGGTATCTTATTTCAAAAAAGCCTCCCATATTCCATACAAATACTACAGTTCATAAAATTCAAATTGTTTCATTTGCGCGGTCCGGCTCGACGCTTTCCACGCGGCTGGCAGCGCTGAAAACTTTTAAAGATGGCCAGATCAGCAAGTTCGCGTCGTATTTCTTCCCTAAACTACTTATAACTTGTAGGTGGCAACTCTCGCGTTAACATTATGTTATTGCCAGCGAGCTGATTGTATAGTATTTTCATTTTAATTGCAACGTTCGGATTAGACGTGCGTAGTGTGCTCGTATAGTGCGCTTTACGAAACGCGTGTTTTTTTTTTGTTTAAATTCATCAGTTGAAATACCAGCAATCGATTTCGGTTCAGATCAACGATTAGTTTTGCTGTTCAATCATTATTTGTTTTAATATAATGGTATTTTAACAGCTTTCGACCGTTTTAATGTTTTAAAAATAGTACACAATACTTAAATTTTTCAAATCTGTATGCATCACTGGCCAATATCAATAAACCTTAAGCCAAAACTGTGACCGTGAATATTCAGCGGCGGAGAAACGCGCAGCGCATTAATAATTAACTAATTTTCATGCAAGCAAACCGATCGGAAGACAGCGCAGAATACAGTTTATCGTTGAAACAATATCAATTATCATCAAAACAAATTGCGCATCCAACTCCCAGTATGTTTGTGTACAAAAGATAAAAACGCGGGACCATCAATGGGAACGTCAAATATTCGCCGATAAAAATTGGTGCGGGTGTGGCATTTATTTTACCAATTATTGCATAAATGTTGAGTAAACAACTAGTGGGTGACTGTTCCTGCAACCCCAACCTCTGCTGGCTGCTGCCCATTATTTGGTAAGCGGCTCATTCGCAAATTATATACAAACATACCCACATATGTATACAAATCTGTAGTTGGCTACGGCGGCAAAAGTTGAACGCACCGGCAAACAAAAAAATAGCCAACGAGTTTTTAATTTAATTAAACTTTGCCGCTTTATGAATGGCAGTGCGTGATCTGTTTGTTGTACTGGAACTTTTATTGTTTATACTCGTAGTGGGCAGTATGCAACGACGCGTCGCAGCGATTCAAGCACTCCTACACTCTCTAATTGAGTTGGGCACAAATCGTTCTCTACCTATTTTGTGGTTTCAAAGCGTCATCAGTCAGCTTTCATGTGAAGGCGTACATCGGCAATACTTGTAGAATTCGGATGTTCGAATAATACACCAGGGGCCACTAAAATGTGTACAGCGTATTTTTCTCAAAGCTTGCATTATCCAAAACACTTTCAATTCAAATTGTTAAATGAATGAATTTGATTAACATATTACATTTTCATAAATATATCTAAAAATATAATTATTCTTTTCGGTTCTAAAACAGTTCGAACTAATCATATTTTAACAGATCGATCTGCGTTGCTATAATTTGAAAACCAGCTTTAAAATACAAAATCAAAAAAAGTGAACAGCTACGACTATTTTGGAAACTCCAACTTTTATTGGATTTGTTGTACTGTTGTATGTTCGAAGAATCTGCAATATAGCTGATGTTCGAAAAAACATAAACAACACACCAACTAAGTAGTTTGGAATTCTGACGAATAATACAACAATTCTTTGTAGGGTAGAAACTGTGTTGATGAGGAAACTCAGGAAATTGGAACTCAAATTTCAATAACGAATAAAGTCACCCAATAAAATGAAGCTATCATAATGATGCTATTTAACTCTCATTTTGAAACTATTCCTTTTCTTAAACCAAATACATAATCAAATTTTGAATAGTTGATATTCGTATATACTCGTGTTTCTTCTTTCGAGTTCACTTTAATATTTTAATTAATACACTATAAGTATTAAAAATGTATACTGCTTCAAATTTCAGTTTAGCAAATAGTGAATATCTTGGGAAAATGAAGAAACCTATTAAACTTTATCTTGCAAAATACAAAATCTTAACTTTTATATTACACGAGTGTGCAATTCTAAGGATCACATTAATTATTACATTGGCATCATAAAGTTTGATAGTTTTAAAGCACTTCTTGAAAGGTGAAAAGAATTCAAATAATCGAAATACACAGTATATACGTATAGGAAAGGTGATTCTTAGACTATAACGGTAGCCGTACTCTTCGCTCAAAAGGTTGTCCAATAGCGTGTATAGTGCATAAGTTAATAATGCAAGACTGGCATATAACATATTCCAAGAATATCCAAAACCAACGAAAATTGTTTGCTGTCGAGGCACTTTCGAGAAATTTATCGTCTGTGACCAAAGAAAACAAGTAAAAAAGCTAAAGTCGGGTGTCCCGACTTTGAAATACTCTGTACATATGTTTACAATAATTATAGAAAATAAAAAAATTAAGAAAATAAAAAAAAAAATTTGATCGATTTTACCTCTCTCGGTATTCGAACTCACGTAAAGGGTGTATAATTGCACATTTACATAGCAATTGCGTCTGTGTGAGTGTATGTATGCCTATGCGCATCTATTCGTGTCTGTGTAAGCATTTTCGCAGTCAACCAAACAGCAACATCAACAACAGCCGCGGGCAGCGCTTGAGCAGCGCTGCAGCAGCGCTGCATCAGCAAATATATTTATGGCTATAACTTCTTGTTAAATCGGTCTATCATAATGAAATTTGGCATACGGACACATAATAACCAACTGGGGGTATTTCCAAAATTTTAGTTCGAAATTCCAAGAATTACGGGAGTTACGATTTGCGGGGTAGAGGGGGGAGGGAGGGGAATTCCAAAATATACATTTTCTGCGTATTCATATAAGGCATCTGGGACTAAAATTTGGTGTTCCTAGGTCTTATAGTCTCCGAGATATAGGCGATTATACGAATGGAAAATCGGGAAAACCCCCATAGGGGGGAAGTGGGGGGGAAAATCAAAAAAATAAAACAAACTCGTATAGAATACACACATAACGCATCTTTGTGCAAAATTTGGTGTCTCTATCTCTTATAGTCTCTGAGATCCAGGTGTTCATACGGACGGACAGACGGACAGACAGACAGACAGACAGGGCTAGATCGACTCGTCTCGTCATGCTGATCAAGAATATATATACTTTGTGGGGTCTGCCACGCCTCCTTCTGCCTGTTACATTTTTCAGCTCCCGCAAACCTAATATACTCTTGTACATTTCATGTACAGAGTATAAAAACGGTCGATTCTCCATTTAATTCTCAGTGGTGTTTGAAAACTTGAGAAGCCCCACCGCCAATTAAGTATTATCCTAATCTGGATTCACCTTTTTAGAAGCCTGATGAAGTCGTCGAAGGCTTTACAAAAAATTGTTTTGGAGGAACCGCCTTCTGAGCTGAATTGGCTGTCGTCTCTTTATTCTGGTAACTAATGTAAAATAGCAACATCATTTTGGGGTATAAAGCAAGTTGTGTCTGTTTAATTGGAGCCTACTATAGTAAAGGCAGTATTTAAATGTTTCTGTCAGATTGTCGATTAAAATTGGATACAATGAATAAAACCTGATCTGATCAGACTCTATTTGTGTCAAAATATTACATATTATTTTAAAATGCAAATGGCTTTTTGTCTCTACTTGACGCTGTCGAAAGTAAATTAAAAGTGTTGTTGATTACATTTCATTTGCTTATATTCTACTCAACTAAAGTATGCAATTGTGTTGAATTGTGACAACGCATTATAGAAATATTTGCAGGTTCTCAATATTGGAACTACAAGTTACCAGTTTCTCCTCGAAAGTCATTTGCAAGATGGATCTAATGATCGTTTTCATAACTCAAGCACATTTATCTATATGTATGCAATCATGTATTGTATGTATATTGCAATTACATAACATATGACCGTCTACCTTCAAGTCATTAGCTTTCACATTCGATCTGAATGACGCACATTGACGTGGCCTGAAATGAAAAGTGCAAAGTCAACATCGACATCGACAACAGAGACATCGGACAAACACCAGCAGTAACAGCGTTAATAATAAGTATTTGATGATCCCAACAATGTTTACACCTGTAGAAACGTATGCAGTGTTCATTTCAAAGTTATTATTTTACACACTTACCTATTCATACATACCCACGTACTATGCCCGTATGTACATACATATGTTCAGTTTTTATCGTTCACGGTGGTTGTGGTAGCAGTTGTCAAAACCGCAAACGCAAGCCGATTTACGTCTAAATAGTATGTAATTGTAGCTTAAATGCCAATTTTACAAAAGTTTATGTCGCCGCTCTACCCTAGCAACTACTGCCATCGATTTAGCCACAGATAGACGAAGCCGCTGCCACTGCAGCTATTAGGAATTGTGAATTATCAGAAAGTGTTTTTTGTGTGCAGGCCTACGTTTATAATGGCATTTTAATGAACTGCGATTTGATTAACCAATCACAATTCGAAAGCCAAATTGCTCAAATTGTTTGTCAGGCGCCTAACATTCAGCTAAATCAGAGCGAACCCAACACGACCAACCCAAATGGTGTTTCAACAGAGCAGAGCACAGCTTGTCCTCTATGGCGTCGTTAAAAAATACTTGAGAGGGGTTCTGAAGGCACCCCAGGCTCCCACGTCCATGTCGGCGCCCGCTGCGCCTGCGCAACTGCTTCTAATGCCGTAAAAAATCAGTAACACAAATGTAAACATACAACCGCACACAGCATGAACATGGCCAGAGACTAAACTCAACGCATTTGAAAAACACACACACATGCTGTTGTTTAGGCCAAGCAAGTTGGCAGCCAATAAAAAAAGTTGCATTGTATTAGCCAAACGCTTAACGATGAATTAAATCGGCAACAGCTAGGAGGCAGACCAATGGCAGCGTTTGTCAGCCACAAAATAAAATTAACACATTTGGTTAATAAAACTTGCTAATGAGTGTGCGAGGCGTTCACTTTAATCTAATACTTCTCGCTGTTCGACCAATTACAAATAAATGTTTATCCACATACACAATAGGCAATCAAAAGTTTGCGTTTCGGCAATAAATTAATTAACAATTTATTCTCTACAGCACGAAAACAGCAACAATTCTGAGCTACTCAATTATTTATTAAGATATAATTTTCGTTAATCATTGAATTGATTGTTCCAATATTTGGGTGACGTATTCGAAATTATGACGGATTCATAATTTACTTTAGTTCTATTGATATTTTGCAATGTGTGACCATCATTATATGAATACTTATTGGTCACCTTCACACTGCTCTATTTAAAAAGGAATTTAAAATAATATATATATTAAAAAAGCGTATATAAGAACTTTGTTTTAATTAACAGCTAACTAGATTACTTAAGGATCTCACCAGAGTGTTAATCAAACGAGAATGGGACTATTGTTAAATAAGTCAGAATTAAGTCAGAGACCTACAAGAGACAGAAAAGTCAAGACGACCTAAGAGTGCAGAGGAAGAACAATTCTACGGATTGCTAATGGTAAAAGATTTAAAAGCAAAAGCCTGCTAGAGTTCAATGGAAAGCGAAAGGTTGGATCCTAGTAGAAGAAAAAATAGGAAATATTTCTGAACCGAATTTAGTTTGTATGGGGATCATTAAATTCCTTCCATCAATGTTTTATGCATTAAACCTTGTTGATAATAGTTGCGTGAAGCTTAAATTACATTTTTGATTTAATTTCACCAAGATCTTCAACAATCGAAGTAAAATTCATTAAAGATTAAGTTAAAAGAGCAAAAGATCATAGTTCACAGAATCAAATGCTTTACTGAAGCAGGCGTAGGTGACTTCAGTGTGCATCTTGAGAGGAAGTGCATCAACTAAGGAGGTAAGCTTAAGAAATTTTGTCGTAGCTTAAAGACACCTTTTTTGAGCTGATCTACGGCGGTGTAGATATCTCTATTTGTACAAATAATTTCAGTTTAGTAAATTCAAATACAAAAATTGTTTTTCTAAATAATAATGCATGGTATTTTAATATATTGTTTTTAAGACATTGACTCCAATGTGCTTAAGCTAACGACGTAATCTTCAAAGTTAGTCCCACAACCAACCGATTTCACAAATATTGTAGAAGAAATAACGGAGAAAATTTCCGATGCATCTAAGTTAAAACAGACTTAATCGGTTTGACAATATATTTTTGAAATTATTTTGGAAGCATATTTTAATTTCAAGGATAAATATTAGTTGAATCAATTCACAAAAACTTGACTTATATATGATGGAACAAACTATGGAGCAGCGATGAAGATCGCAATTCCTATCCCTGAAAAAATTCGATCAATCAATGTGTTCATATACCTTTTTCTCAATCAGTACTACTGTATTTAATGGATGTATTCGAATGTTTTAAGATAGCCCTGTACAATTCTGTTTCAATTTGATACAATATTTATGAAATGAATACGATAATACATCTCCATATTAATACTGAAAAATTGATTATTGTAAACATTATAATGTTGTCTGTACACATTCTTCCAGATGTTAAAATACTTTTCTTTGAATTGTTCGCCTTAAACTACACGCGAGCATAATTTATTAAACTGAAAAGAAAGAAAAAAAAAACTATACGCTTGGTGTTCGACCAATCTGGGCAAATCCATTCATAGAACCCATACGAAACATAGTTGTCCGATGAAAATGAACTAAAATGAAGTGCAACTATAAATATTTATTAGCCTAGCTAAATCGGGCTCTAAGTAGTCGCTAATTTAAGCAGCACGGCCATGCTACTCCATAGAGCAAGGCATCAAAAATGTTTAGGCCTGCGCACCATTTGGCTGACTGTGCCATGGAAACTCACATGAAAAGTGTAAATTGTCAGCTCAGTGGCCCGGCTGGTCGAGTGGCTTCATAAGCGAAGTCTGTTAAGCGCCAGTTGTGCAGTCCGTTCAGGCGGACAGGCAGACGGACGATCGGACGATCAGACGATCGAACGGACGGACGAAAGGACAGACCCGCTCCGCACTTAATTTATGTGCACTAAACATTTTGCCTGCCATTTTGCGACAAAGACAAAGTAGTTGCTGTCGGTGTTGTTCGCAGTGTTTCTGTTGTTGTTGTTGTTTTGGTTGTTGTTCTTGTTGTTGTTGTTACTGGTAAGCACTTGCGATTGTGCTGCGAACGTGTCGGGCTTATTAATTAGGTTCGATGGCATTTTATACACGTACATGTGTTCGAACGTATATCCTAAAAGCGAAAACGCAGAATGCCATGCTATATAGGCGAAAACGTCAATACTGTGTGGGATTTGGATTTACAGAGGCAGCTACTCAGAAGATCGTTGCAATGTGTGGGAATATTGTGGGCATCAAGAGATGCTGCCATGCACTTAAAATATTTTATTAATGTAAGTAGAATGTGCTAAGTATTTACGGGAAAATAGGACATTACCGAAATACACAGAATGAAAATATGGATCAAATCTACCTGCATATAGTTCGATCAATTGTTTCGATCCCTATTCTGCCCAAATTCGAGTGGGCCAAATGCTACAGATCACTTCTTCAAAACATGGTTAATTTAATAGCAGATCTCATATTAAGAGTAATTTATAGTAATGGGGGACATATCTAGGAAATGAACACTATAAACACAAGTATATTGAACAGAAATAATGTTCTTTGATCAGGTCAATTTATTAATTCGTTCGAAATCATTTTTTATTTAATTTTAAAAACAGTTTCTTGTAATTTCCTTTAATATTTATAAAATAAATTTAAACTGTAATTTAAAAAAGTTTTATATTTTAATCATTTTAAAATATCGAAGATTTTTTATTTAATTAAGAAAAATATGTTGATAAGGTGACTTATTTCGCAGACCTTACATTGTATTTTATCCTTTATATATAGATATTGTATTAAGACCAGTGAGATAACACCACTGTTTCTTAAACTTGCCATCTACTTAGAAGCTTATAAGATTTTAAGCTACGGCCATATGTTACTAAAAAGTTGTCATAGGAGTTCCTTATTTAAGTTTTTGAAAAAATAAAACATATACTGCTTTAATAAGTCGAATAAAATTCAGACCAGATAGTTTAACTATATGTTTTAAATATAACACATAACTATATGTTTTAAATATGGATAATTGTTACTTTGGTAATTTTCCCTTTAGTTAATTATATATTCAGCCATTTAAAACTGATGGAAAAATATTAATATTTAAAAACATAAAAATCTACCTGCACGGGTCTGGTTTGAGGATTCGCAAGGCAAGAAAATAATGACGACTGCTCCACAAATTCAAATATAGATGTGGCCTTACAATAAGTAGGTAACAATTTTTCCAAATAGTATCAGTATTATAAATTCAAATACGAAATTGTTTTTACATATAATATATTGTTTCTAAAACATTCTCTCCAATGTGCCATAAATTAACACAGACTTTAACGGATAGGCAATGCATTTGAGAAATTATTTTGAAAGCATATACTAATTCCAGGGATAAATATTAGTTATATGATCGAACAAACTATAGAGCATCAATGAAGATCAAAAGTTTTAAGACCTTACCTTAAATCCACTCTTGAACTTATTTAATGAACAGTAACGATATTATATTATTAAATTTTGTATTCTTTGGTTTATCATAGTGTGCCATTCAACCGAATATCGTACCACTTAGATACGAGTATATCCTTCACATACATATGTCCTCCCATTGCTATCTAATCTTTGAATATTTACACCCTAAGCACCACCTTTAGCCGTTACTCAAGTCAGTAATTATCTATCTTAACGCTCCATGTGCTATACGCACATGCTGCTAATTGGCCTCCGATGTATGCCCAAAACACCAAAACACGCCCAACCAGCAACTGCACACGAATTAACATAAGAAATGACTACAAATTGCACCAAATAACAAAACCAAAAATAAACAGCGACTGCTCCCAGGTATTCGGTTTCATTAAATGCGCCAAGCGTGAAAACGTGATAAAATTTCAGTTCGCCATACGAAAAATTCGCCTTTATTGCAAATTGTTAATCAGAGGCGAACAACGAACTGCTGACTAAGACACCAGCACCATCGAGCACCAAATACTTGTATTGTATGAGTATGCACTAAGTTATAAAACTTATGTTCAAACATTCGGACATTTGTTGTGTGCAATTTCTCAACTCCATTCTCGAGCCGGTAAATTACAGGCGACATGAACACAAATAACATTTTATTAAGTGCTAATTTCTGTTTAGACTAAAAATGGGCAAAATTTGATGATTTCGCATGGCCAATAAGTCAATTTGTTGGCTTGGCAAATTGTGTTTGGAACACCAACACAAACTCCACTCAGAGATTGGCGCCGTTGATAGAGACTTGTGTTTTTTTTTCTTTTTTTGTTATAAATAAGTTTGTTCAGTTTCTCATAAATCGGTGGCAACACATGGACATTTTGGGTCTTTTCTGCTTAGTTACAGTACATTTGATCTCACGAAAATGCACAATACTAATAGTAACAAAAAGCAAATCGAATCGAACAAATTATTAATAATGTAAGGTTTTAGAGTGTTCAGAGTAGAGATGTAACTTTGAAAGCAATCATCGATGTCGATGCATTGAAAATAAAAACATCTAGCCCTCGCTTAACATGACCTATTTTATTTTAGGCCGAGTTAACATGATTAAAAATTCTTTTCCTTTTTTAACACGCTGAAAACACGATACAAGTTGAAAAATATTTTTAAAACAAGAGAGAACGCTACATCCGAGCAAGCCCGACAGTGTAATACCCTGTACCCAGGTAAACTTCCGTCACTGAGTTATATGCGCCCAAAGCAGCAGCAAAAAGAGGAAGAAGAAGAGCGAACTTGTTGCTGCAGTTTGTGGGGGTTGTACTGGCGAGAATTTGTTTCGCTAATAACTTCTTAGAATTGACAGAATTCAATAAAATTTTAAACAACAGTAGATAATTATTTATAAATTATGTGTGCAAAGTTTGGTTTAGGTAGCAATTGAAATGTGGACGCTATTGACGAAATACTGCAGCGGGGGAAGGGGGGGAAAATTAAAAAAAATAAAATAAACTCGTCCTTACTCGGATCTAGGAGAATCTGGATGCCAGCTTTGGTTATTCCAGCTTTTATAGTTTCTGAGATCCTCGCGTTCATCCAGACGGACAGACGGACGGACATGTCTAGATCGATTTCTCTCGTCATGCTGATCAAGAATATATATACTTTATGGGGTCGGAGATGCTTCCTTCTGTATGTTACATACTTTGCACAAACCTAATATACTCTTTTTACCCTACGGGTACAGGGTATAAAAAGAAGCATATTACTTTAACCCACTTTTGACTTTTGTACGTTTAACACGATTTTGCTTAGTACGAGGTTTTCTAGGAAGCGAGCGCTGCTGGGTGTATGTTTAAGAGCTAAAGTCAGCTGTCCCGTCTTTGAAATACTCTATAGCTATGTGTAGAAATATATTGTAAATTTAAAATAAATAGCCAAATGGAAAAAAACCATAAACAAAAATGTAAGTTCACGTAAAGAATTTATGATTCCACATTGTTGCTCAAACATCAACAGCAAATATTGATAGGCACACAAATTATTCAAGTTTAAAAGGTGGAACAAAATTATTTATTTAGAAACAAAGAAATAGTTCTAAAATGAATTTAATTTATAGAAGGTCTGAACAGTTCTCATTCAACACAAAGATGAGTAAAGAGGCATTGATTTCTAGTATTGACACACGTTAAAAGCAAATCAAAGACTACCAATTCAATTGTTAAATTTTTAAATGTAAGTATTTATGTACTCGAATAGGTACATAAGCATATACATATCTACTTTCCCAATTTGTAGGCGGCAACTATGCCCAGACCCAGAAGTAAAATAACAAATCCTAATGAACCACCCAATGCTAAGGACTTGGAGAAGTCGGCCACATGCTCATTGCTTTGCTCCTCTTCCTTGGAGGATCTTTCTTCAGTTGCTTCTGGTAGAATAACTCTAAAGGTGATGTGCGACAGTTCTGAAGCTTCGGTACCATTTCCTTGCCCTGTCGTATCCCGTCTTCGTCGCTGCGTCCCACCAACCACACAATCTTGAGCCGTCAGTTGGCAATCCTCGCGCTCCAAACAACCGGTTATTCGCATGGACATTATCAGGACATCGCCACTTCGCATGCCCTGAAACATGACAGCCTTAAAGTGGAGTCTTTGACCCAAGGGGGCCTCAAAGCTGGGCGCATGGGCGCAAATGCTTTGCATCGCTGGATTAAGACAGCCCTGTGGTGTAACCAGTTGGGCACTATTTAGCAGATCGCCCGAGGGGGAAATCCGTTGCAACTGCACGTCGCTCAGCTTAGTGTAGTTCCAACCTATGGCAGAGGAATTGTTAGTGTCGATCTAGGCAGGAACCGCTAGCCCACTCACCGTCTCCGGCCAGAACATGCGCCCGTAGCAGCAAATCCTCTCCTAACTGCACGGCTCCATTGTTTTCCAGATGCCGTGTGTATCCGTTGCTGCCACGTCTCAGTAATTCTACATGAGTGCGAAATGCATTCTGCAGACCTCCATGGGCGTAAGTCCCACTGCTGCGCGCTTGTCTAAAAAGAAAAATTCTATAAATAAGTTGAAATACCTTGCAGTAGTCACTAAAGTTATGTAGTTCGAGTACCGAGCGCGACCGTATTATATATTAACGAATCTATATACTATGAATATTCGTAGTATATATATTGGTATATATTGGTTGAAAATGTTGAAAAATGATCGATTTGTTCAATTTTGCAAGTTGTTAATGGAACTAGATGAATTTTGAATTTTTGTTTTGAAAAGTATTTAATTATTCAGCAATATCAATTTTCTCCTTTTTAAAGTAATCTCCCTCAGATATAATGCACCTATGCCAGCACTTCTTCCTATCCTCGAAGCACTTCTGAAATGCGCTCTTCGATTTTGATTTTATCTCATCAATTGTGGCAGAACACTTTCCTTTCATTGGTCTCTTCAGTTTTGGGATTAGGAATAAGTCGCAGGGAGCAATAAGTGCACTATATCTTAAGGGGATGGCTGTGAAGGTGACAAGATGGATATTGACGAATAAATAAATGCTTTTCAAAGGAATTCAAAATTCGCCTTTTCTTTTGAACAGACCTATACACGTATATACATATATGCACGCAAACGTTCCATAACTTCCTTATTATCGGACGACCTGTTGGGGAGAACTCATGAGGCATTGCAATCAAAGCAAGACCTTCACATTTTCTTTTGAACAGACTCGTAACTAAATAATATAATAAATATTGTCGGATGTTAATTCACGTCGGGGCCTTGGCATTACTGAACTGACACAACTCTAGTGAATGCACCTACACATCACTTGCAACACCCATTTTCAGAGCATGCGTCTTCACGGCCACTCGCTCCTGCGTCTTGCAGTGGAGCGTCAAAATTGCATCACCGGCGGTGCGCAGGCCGCGGATGGCTGGAAAACGCAGACGCAGACATAGGTCCTTTCCGCAGGAGCGCACTCCGCAACGCTCGAAGTCCGCACCCGCTATATCCAAGAGCAGGTAGCTGCGCGATAGCTTCAGTTCGCAGCGTTTATCCTGTGCATCACCTGTGTCTACGGTGGGTGCAGTGCTTATAAAGCTGTCCACTTTGAGAATTGTGCGGAAATAGCCTCCTTGCAAGCAGCGCATCTCCTTAAGCCTCAGGCGCAGCTGCTGATTCTCGCTGCTGGGCTGCTCCGGTGGCAGATAGACCGGTGCCGGTGTGGAGGGCAAAACAGGCGCATGGTAATCATAGCCCGCCTCCAGATCATTATCATCGCCAGGATCTTGCACGACAATGGGTCGTTGGGTGGTGCTAGTCGTTGTACTGGATGGCGATGGATAATAGTAGCCTGCGAAGGCTTCGTCGCTGCAACAAAGGAATTGGATTGAATTAACGCTTCTTATGCTTATGCCTAATTGATTTTACTCGTATGTTAGGAACTGGTAGTCTCAAGATCCCAACAATGCAGACATCATACCTGGGTACTGGCTTTGGACTCTCATAGCTGGGACGCTCCTCAGCCGGTGGCAGATAATGCTGACTGAGCGGTATAAAATTGCCATGAGTCTTCACACTGCGGTTCTCGATGATCTCGGGTAATGTGAACTCGGTGGTTGCCGGAGCTGGGGGTGCAACAGGGGCTGGCGTTACTGGATTAATGGGAGCTCCATACAAAGTAGACGGCTGGGGCGGGGCTAGGCCGACTTGATACGGATGTTGCCCATGAACAAAGCTGCCAAAGTCCACGGGTGTGAAATAGTGCGCCACATCCGCGTCTGCGCCAGTTCCTAGCCGCAAAATGAGGAGTCCAACTAAGCAATATGTCCAAGCACTTAGCATTCTGAGTATTCACTAATCGGTGGAACCATGTATGGATAAGCTTTTATAAGCTAGCGCATGAAAGTACAGACCCCAGAGCGTGACTTTGCTGACCCGCTTGGGGTTGGGTATTCTTTAAGTTCCATACTTACTTTCTATGCTGTTAATTTTATAGCCGCCAACACACGATTTCAATGTTTGGACATTTTCTGGCTTAACTTTCCTTGATCACGAATTGAACAGTTTCGAATCGATTGAATATTGGGCCAGGTTATGTAAAACTAATTGCCACTCGTTATCCCCAGACAATATAAACGGAATATACTTAGCATCATGTATAAAACATTTTTTATGTCGCTTCACTTGTCGCACAAATCATTTGCCATCTGACATCCTGACCGCCAACAACTAATGACAACAAGCAACAGCATTTTGGCCATAATGCGAAGTTTTTGTCTCAAATGGTCAAAGACAAAAGACGCGCTCCAATCAAACGAGCCGTGCCGGCTATTTCGACGATGCCGACAATGCTTCAAAAATTTGCCAAAAATGGGCAGCCAAAGTAAAAAGTTGTCATGAAGATACCGACTGAAGACTAGAAATGCATATAAATTCATATGTATATTGCATCATTTGTATGAGCGATTTCTTTTTATAAATTCAGCAAGAACAGCTCATCCAAATTGAATTACTATTCACTCGATAATTTGTAGAGAATGAAATAAACTACTAACTAACTACTACTGTATTCGAAATACAAGCCAGAAAAGTAATATACTTATGTTGAATTTCGGAATAAAACTGTTCAAATTTTTATCTTCCAATAAAAACAAATTTTAAACTTGCACAATCCGACATTCGACATTCATGCATAACATTTTTTGAGATATACTATATACAAGTAAGAAGTATACCGATACCGATATTGAAAAGTCTGATCCCATTCAGCCTGATGCACTGTGCAATGTTCAGAGCCCCTGTTTATCTTGTTTTCAAGCTTATACTAATAATGTCATTCATAAATTCAAAGCAAAACTTTAATGAGCATCAATCCAACATGACATTTATGATTGGAGGCAATTATTTTTCTTGCGTATGTTTGACGATGGGTTGCGTGGAGGGCGGGTATACGTATAGGCTTTCCATAAGTATGTAGTTGAAAAGGCAGCTTATGCCTTTAATGTTATGCGGTACACATTTAAACTGGCTTTTATCGGACATAAGAGAATGGGTAACTGTAGGCCCCTCAACGCAGAAATCCCATTACCAGCACACCATGCATCAAAATCAACACACGAGATAACAATCTCTCATGGGCTCAAAAGACAGACGGCAACAAGAAAATTTGCCACATCGTCCAAATCGAGTTGCAATTAATTGATTTTACAAGACAGCTTGGTGCAGGAAACGCAGCCGCCACACACAGCTTGCAACTTGCAACTGACAACACGCAACACGAAACGCAATCATTAATGGTACCAAAAAAGTTTTCCTTAGACCACGTACTCGTATCAATGACAGCAATTAGTTGGGCACCCATCGCGTAAAAATGAACATTTTATTATTTATTGTACGTCAATAAACGATATTTGTATTCGAAGATACCAGAATCTAAACTCAATTAAAATATAGGAAAAATTTGCACTTGTAATGTGCAACTTGCAATTGTAATTTCTAGAAAAATATTTGTGTAGTATTTATTTTAAAAAGGAGGAATATATTATTTTAAAAGGAGGAGGAAATGCTGTCTTACTTTATAGATAAATATATGATATGCATGACTATAGTTAGCTTCACTTACTACACCTCCCGCAGTCCTAGAGCCATAGACTTGAAACTTTATACATAAGCTTCTTTTTTAACTATGATAATATACCGGTACCGAAAATGTCACATCATTTAATTTTCTTTATTATTTTTTGAAAGATAGAAAAATGTATCTTTCATAAATATCCAGATATAAATTTATATTTTTCTCATTTAAAAAATAATGTTTCTTTGCTGCGATCTATACTCTTTGCAGTCTACCAATGCCATAAGCCGCTACTTTGTACTCTGCGCGGACAATTTTGGGAAACTACTTTAAGGAAACAAGCACATGCTTAAATTTCCAAATTCATTCTGATTTTATTTCTTTAATAACTTAGTATTTATACATTTTTAGGCTCATGTACTAGTTTCTTTTTATGTACTAACAATATAATATCTTACTCATTCTTACGCTCTAAACATCCAACTTATTCTTTATTGACATGTTCTATTCTATCCTGACGGTGTTAAGTGGTTTTTTACCCTGTACCCGTAGGGTAAAAAGGGTATATTAGGTTTGTGGAAAGTATGTAACATGCAGAAGGAAGCATCTCCGACCCCATAAAGTATATATATTCTGAATCAGCATGACGAGAGAAATCGATCTAGACATGTCCGTCCGTCTGCCTGTCTGTCCGTCTGTCTGGATGAACGCAAGAATCTCAGAAACTATAAAAGCTAGAATAACCAAAGTTGGTACCCAGATTCTCCTATGTCCGAGAAAGGACGAGTTTATTTTATTTTTTGGAATTTTCCCCCCTTCCCCCGCTACAGAATTTCGTCCATACCGTCCACATTTCAAATGTTACATTACCAAACTTTGCACACATCATTCATACGCAATAGTCCGCTTTTGTTTTAAATTTCATCTAAATCGGTTAATCCTAAGAAAAGTTATTAGCGAAACAAATTGTCTACAGTACAACCCCCCTAAACTGCAGCAACAAGTTCGCTCTTATTCTTCCTCTTTTTACTTTTGCTATGAGCGCATATAACACAGTGACGGAAGCTTACCTGGGTACAGGATATTTCACTGTCGGGCTTGCTCGACTGTAGCGTTCTCTCTTGTTTCTAAATATGGATATATTCCAGGGTTCGTAAAATTTGCTACACGCGAGGAATTGTGGGTAGCGTGGCTCGCTGTCACAAAAGCCGAGAGTCATGCGAGCCGGCCTTCAGTTCGTCCCAGGCAGAATTTCTCGTGGGTCCGAATGGGTGGTGCTCGCATTTTACGAACCCTAATATATTCTGAGCGTTTTCATGATCTATTTTGGTGTATTTAGCTGTCACCGTCCTTTTTTTGATTGCATATCTTGCTACCTACTATGCTTTATTTTTTCTAGCCTTCCTACTGTATTATATTCCTTATGCTAGCGTTCCATCTCTGTTCAGTTTTGTGAACATCTTGCGCAGGAGTATCTTTACTTTGCGAACAAATATTCTTAACTATTTTCTTCAGAATTCGGTGTTGTTGGTTTTTTGTTTTTGCAGCTTTTCTAATGATTGTTATTTAGATGAACTACGACTTACATTTCCCTTTTGTGTATCATTTAAACGTTCTCTAGGATTTCACTTGAATAATGCCGGGCACATCATTCCCCGCGAATAATGACAACTTCAGCAACGGATTTCCCCTGCCAAGCACACAAGCTGAGCGGCTGCTGCAGGCTCAAAACAGGCGAAAGTTTAGTTTTCCAGCGACTCTACACTCGACGACCCTCCTCGAGGTGAACCAGCGTGAGTCGACCCTTCGACGACTGAGCAATGTCAGCGATGTGGTCACACGCAAGCTCTCTTATACGATAGGCTGGAAGGCTGCACAAATACCTGCTCAGGACATCATCTCCCAGGTACGTCAAATTTCGTGTCGTAATGTGTTTACAAGTTTATTCTTGAAATTGCGCTTCTTGTGTTTAGGGGCGCTGTCTTTGCGGGCATTACATTAAACGACGTCTGCGGCGATCAGGTCTCTTCAATAAAAAGCTGGGCCTGCAACGCATCCGGAGCATTTTAGGAACCACACCCACGAGTATTGTGCGCGAGGTTTTTCCGGCAGTACAAGTGGTTTGTATTAATTGTCAAAATGTTAATAACTAAACTTTGAAAATTCTTTAAATTTTAAATTTGATAACATATAATTGAAATGCATTGTCTGTTTATATCGACATCATGAGAAATTACAATACACTTACAGAGATAAGACAGATTAAGTACTTAATAGTATTCTTGATAAGAATATGAAGAAGGTTCTTGAAAGGTGCAGGTGCTAGAGCCACCACAATATGGTTGGCAAACTTAAGTTAATCTGCTTTGAAACTTTGAATTCTAAGCACGGTGCACTTTTCTATTAAATTCTCGCAAATGCTAATGTAAATATGAGTAATAATTTCCTAGACTAGGCCCTTCTTTTTCTTAATTTACACATTTTCAATTTATAATAACATTATCTTTAATTGCCGCAGCTGGGCGACGAACTGGAGCGCATGCATCCGCGGGTCTACAACGGCGTTGCGCGCCAAATATGTCGAAATCCAGGTGGCGAATTTCATACACCCGATGCTGTGACTATTCTTTTGGGAGCTGTGGGCCGTGAACTCTTCCAAACGGGCATAACCTGGAGCAAGGTAATTTCATTGTTTGCCATTGCGGGTGGACTGTCCGTAGACTGTGTGCGCCAGGGACATCCCGAGTACTTGCAAAAGCTGATGCAGGGCGTCGAGGATGTAATCGAAGATGAACTCGTACATTGGATCAACGAGAATGGCGGCTGGGTAACGACAAAACAATGACTCATTGTATTGCACGATTTTTACACTATTCTCTCTGTACATAGAATGGCATCAATACGCACGTCCTGCCAACTACGAACAGTCTGAATCCATTGGAGTGGACTACACTGGTTATTGGTGTGGTCTTTGGTTTAATTTTAATTTTTATGTTTTTGCGATTTATTATAACAACACTGATACCGAAAATATATCAACGCACTACTGATTAAGATCAAAACAATTACAAATTCTGGCGTCCTAAAACAATAATACTTAGTACACGTTGTTGGTATACTTGTAAGTATATCGTTGGTCTTACATCAAAAATCCCAAAGTACATTATGAAATAAATGTACGTTTGTTAAATTAAATTTGTATTTGTATTTAAATTCCCTCTTTCATTTATTCGAACGTGTCAGACTTTAAAATATTAAACATACCTAAATACTATATTCATATTTTAATATCTAAATATTGCCTGGCCGATCATTCCTATGAAATTTATATTACATTTTTGTTCCGATCTTAGTATAAATCTCATAACAAGTGTGCTATACACATGGAGGGCTGAATTGAAAGCTTAATTTAAAAGTAAGGAAAAATAATAGAATTAGTATTGAATAATAAGTATGATTATTAACATGTGCCATGCCTTTGGCTATGTTACACACTATTTTACCAAATGTAAAAGCTCCACTAAAAGCTCCAAACAGTTTCAAATTAGCCGCCAGCGCAAAGCTTTAGCATGGTTGCATCTGGTGGTACCTATAGCTGTCTCGCCCTGGCGCCAAAAAGCTCAACGCGCTTTGGTGAATGTGCGTCAACTTTGGAGCTCGGCCCCAAACGACCAGCAGCTGAGTTGGCGGCGCACACTCTCACGCGTTAGAACCTCGCGCTAAATTCGCTTGCACAACATTTTCGTAGATTTCTCGGTTAAAGTTAAAGTTCAAAGCAAAGTGAAGCGAAAAACAATAAACACACACCGCAACAAAACAGAAAAGCAAAAACAAAAACATAAGTATAAAGAAAAGAAAGCAAAGCAGTGCCAAAGCAAATTAATCGAACAACTTTGCGTGCAGCGTGCGGCGGCGCTTGTCAGACATCAGACAGCGGAGCAACAAGTTTAAGTTTTTTCCTCGGCTTTACGCTTTGCGCGCCACATTTATTACTGATTTTTTATTTTGTTTTCTACATTTTATCAATCCAAACCACCTCCAAAAAAGCACAAAGCACAACTCGCGCTTAAAAGGCAAAAAACTGTGCTTGATATTGAACAAAAAAAACAGCAGCAGCGGCAACAAAAACAATAACAACAACAAAAACAGAAGAAAAAATCATATAGAATTTCACAAATTATACAACTAAATGACAGCGGCGCCGCAGCAGGTAAGTCTCTGCCTGATCCGCACTTAAAGCGCATGCGGCAGCATTACAACAATAGCAACTACAAATCTATGTATGTATGTATGTTAACCCGAGCATGCCCCACTCTCAGCCCATTGTTACTGCTGCTGTTGCGGGTAATTGTCTAACGTCAGCCAAGCAGCGCCAGTAGCAAATACGCCCGTAGATGACGACGGCCATGGCACCCACCACCTCCACTGCGCCTAAGCTGGCCAAGTTCAAATCCTCCTCGCTGGACCACGAGATATACGCGGCGAATAGACGGGGCACCATCGCCACAGCGGCGGAGTGGAAGGCGTTGCGTGCATCTGTGCCTGGAACAATGCCGGGCACGGCCAATGGCAGATCAGCGACTGCCACAGGCAGTGCTGCCAGCACTGGGCACATGACACGCGCCGCCTCGACATCGTCGCTGGCGAGCAGCACGCGCACCATGACCAACTATCAGGAGTACAAAATGGAAATTATTAATCAGGTGAGACCGAGAGCAGACAATTCACCGAAGTTTTACTTTATGTGTGTGTTTGGGCTTCTGTTACTTTTTTTTAACTTGAAGCGATAAAAAAAGCTGTGCAAATAAATTGTATGCCGATTTTGTTGCTTTTGTTTGTGTGTACATACATACGTACATAAGTGTGTACTAAATTCAAAATTAATTTATGAAAAATGGCCGGCAATTCACTAAGCATGTTCTCTTTTCTCAAATAAAAGCGTCTTACATTTTTGAGTGTTTTAGAATAAGTTTCTTAAGAGTTTTCAGTTGCCTTGGGGCTTTTCTTTACACTCATCTACATACATATTTATATGCATGAGTGTATATATGTAGGTCGCTGTTGTCGCCGCATAATTGATAGGGTAAATATTTTATTCATGCTTGTATTTATATAAGTACATATATATTTTTTATCTAGCTGATAAAAACTGAAGTGCAGCAGCAGTCGCGCCTTTTTAATATGGAATATTTATTCAAGTAGTTGGGGAAATGCACTCTCAAGTTTTTGCTAATAAATTCTTGAGGCATGTGCTGTGGAATATTAATGTATGTACACTCTTCGTTGTATACAATATCCCATAAACAAACTACACTAATATACATACTTATTAGAGCTCTGATCAATTCTACATGATTTCAAATGTTTCATGACTGTACTGTATATAGTCTTGTGTAGGAGAAAAATTTGTTTTAAGGGATTAAAGAGTATTCACATTTTAAAATTGGAGAAGAAAGCAGCCTTTTATTTTAATTTTTATCGCCCAACGAAACAAATAAGCTTTAAAAATCTAAAACCTGTACCTACAAAATGACAGATGCCTCAAGATTGTACGTTTCACAACTCTTGTCATTAACATATTATTTATGTGTATACTCGTATATGTATAGCACATATAGTGCTACTTATTGTTAAAAATGTTTTTTTTGTGCGACCTTTTCAACAAATTTGATAGCACGTACATAGAATTTTATAAGAGTCCAAAGTTTAAACTGTTTGCATACATAAAAGACACACACTATATATACTTTGTCATAAAACGGCTTTGCAATAAAAATGGTTAAACATTTGTTCAGTAAAACATAAATCTAATTCAATTTTGAAACTGGGAAGTTTACGAATCAATCACAAACTTATTTCACTCATAGCAGTACTCCTAGTGTTTCCTCTTGTATATTAGCGTTATTTTTTAGCACTATTATTTATTAAAAAACATTTTTTGTTTTCATTTATCAAAGCATGTTTGACGTTCAAAATGGTATTAAGAGCTGGCCTTTTTCGTACGTACCTAGTTCCCAGAAGTTCAAAATGAACTGTTTTCCAAGCTTTCACCTCAAATACTAATTGAATATTGAATTCTAATAAAAGCTGGCCCATTAGGACCTGCTGTAAGTATGTTGTCTGCTGAAGAGTTTTCTTTCATACTCTGAAAGTATTGAAGATAACCATAATGCTATCAAATATCATATTGGTATTTGTGGATTTCCTCTCATCCACGATTGGTAGATTGTAGAAATTGTGTAAGAGCTCCAAAATTTTATTTAACATTTTTAACCAATTTTAAATCACGAATTTTATAACCAAGTTTACAAACTCTGATGACAAGTACAACAAGAGAGAACGCTACAGTCGAGCAAGCCCGACATTGTAATACCCTGTACCCAGGTAAACTTCCGTCACTGAGTTATATGCGCCCATAGCAGCAGCAAAAAGAGGAAGAAGAAGAGCGAACTTGTTGCTGCAGTTTGGGGGGGTTGTACTGTAGACAATTTGTTTCGCTAATAACTTTTCTTAGAATTGACCGAATTGAATAAAATTTTAAACAACAGTAGACAATTATATATAAATTATGTGTGAGAAGTTTGGTTTAGGTAGCATTTGAAATGTGGACGCTATTGACGAAATTCTGTCGCGGGGGAAGGGGGGGGAAATAAAAAAAAAAATAAACTCGTCCTTACTCGGACCTAGGAGAATCTGGATGCCAACTTTGGTTATTCTAGCTTTTATAGTTTCTGAGATCCTCGCGTTCATCCAGACGGACGGACGGACAGACGGACGGACATGTCTAGATCGATTTCTCTCGTCATGCTGATCAAGAATATTTATACTCTATGAGGTCGGAGATGCTTCCTTCTGTATGTTACATACTTTGCACAAACCTAATATACCCTTTTTACCCTACGGGTACAGGGTATAAAAACCTGAAAAGAAACAGCAATGAAAGCAGTACACCGTGCCCAACAATTTCGCTCAAAAATAAGTTTTAATGTGTTGAGGGCAAATTTAATTTAAACATATTGAAGAATTCTATGACAGGATATATCTTGGAAAACTATTTCCCAATACGATTTTACGATATTTTCATAAACAAATTTTAAATTCAGGGGTAGTTAGTTATCTGCCGTAATGCACGGTTTTCCAGTACCTGGATACTATAGTTAGTATCTAGTTATATATACATATATATATGTAAGGAAAATATAGAAAATTCTGTATATATCTACAGTTTTTGAATATATATTAAGATATTAAGTTTTCATTTGTTCATGGGGTTGTTAACTACCCAACTCGATCATTCATTTATAAGTACTATTTATGTATGTGGGTACTAGCTTTATTTATATTGCTGTCCAATTTACAATGTCATGTCAGATACAATTGTCATTTATGTACGGATGTATAAACATACATACATGCATATACGAGTATATTGATGGCTATAGCGAACAAATCAAGCTTCAAACTCGTTTCGTTTTTCTCGTACTTTTTCGCACAATTACCGTTTGTCACGCCAACAATATAGACAATTTAACAAGTGTCTTGGCTAATGACATTGCAAGCCTTGACCTTGTAGCCATTGTCTGCGCAGACTCTGGTCTATTGAAGAGTCACTTGTGCTCTATAAGCGGTTAATCACCCGACTTCGGAAAAAGTACAAAGCGAATGTATTAACTGTAAGCATAGATAATAAATCGAACAATTTGTGTATACTCGCCAGTGAGTTTTATTAGTCTATCGACATCCAAACATTTATCAATTGAAGCATACAGCTACATATATGTATATTTTTATACCAAAATAGACAAATTTACAAACCGTTAAGGTTGTGCGGGTTCTTAAAGTCAAACATACTTAGATCTACTAGACTGTTGCCAAAATGAATTATTTTTTGTAATTCAGCTATTCTCACAACTAAAAACAAGTGGATAAGCTAAGGTCAGGTGTCAGAAGTGTAGAATAATTAAAGAAATTTAAGGATTAAGGCAATTTAAAAAAAAATTAAAATTAAAGGTTGTATAACTGCACATTTACATAGGAATTGTGTCAGCAACAACAACAACAACAGCTGCGGGCAGCGCTTGGGCAGAGATTACATATATGTATGGCTATAAATTCTTTTTAAACCGGTTCAGAAAACTTGGCATACCGACTCATAATCACTAACCGAAAGTATTTGACACATTTAAGTCAAAAATTCCAATAATTACGGGAGTTATTGAAAATCACAAATTGGAAGGGAGAAGGGGAGGAAGGAAAATTCGAAAATACGAATTTTCTGCGTATTTATGTAAGGCATCATGGAACGAAATTTGGTGGTCTTATCGTCTCCGAGATATAGATGAATTTACGAACGGTGTTACGGAAAATTCCCATTATCGGGGGAGTGGGGGGAAATAAAAAAATTAAACAAAATTGCGCACATTTAAAGCATTTTTGTACAAAATTTGGTGTCGCTAGCTCTTATAGTCTCTCAGATCCAGGTGTTCATACAGACAGACAGACAGGGCTAGATCGACTCGTCTTGTCGTGCTGATCAAGAATGTACTACAAGTATATATACAAGTACTTTGCAGGGTCTGCCACGCCTCCTTCTACCTGCACATTGTACATTTCATATACCTCTTATATTATATTTTATGTAAATTATATATTATGTAATTTGCAGAAAATAATAAGGCTTATTTCAATTCCTATCTAACAAAATAATTCCATCCATAATGTGCAACAGTTTCTAAGCTTTTATTTATCTAATTCGACGAATCCTCATCTCATCTAATATAGGAAATAGACTTTTGAAGCACGTCTTCTGTGGTGTGCTTTAATAGTAATCAAGGCACATTCTACCGTTTTCTCTTTCACATTTTCTTTATACCACAGCTTCTTCTGTTCTGTTTTGATTGGAAATAGGGATAACAATCAAATTTATGATTCTTTATTCTAGCTCTTATACTTTCTGAGATCCTTGCGTTCATACAGACAGGCATGGCTTTATCAACTCGGCATGTCACCCCGGTCAATAATATATATACTTTGTGGGGTCTGCCACACCTCCTTCTGTGTGTTACATACATTCGCACAAAACTAGTATACCCTTTCACCTTTTGGGTACAGGGTATAAAAACTGTTGTCATTTTGTTGGAGTTGGTGCAGGGTGTTTGAGAGTTGAGCTCGCTCGACTATAGCATTCCTTTTCTGTTCAAATTACATTTTGTTGTTCCTAACTTTATTTGTCAATAAAACATATAAGAAACAAATAATAAGAATAAATTGTGCAAGTGAACAGAATCGCAATGGTTCTTTTGAATGGAGTTAAGGACCGCCTGGGCGTTGCTGTAACTGCTGTGCAAACAGCATTCCACTAAGGATTCGTGCCTATGGTCCTCTATCTAGGCTTCTCAAAAGGCGCCGAGACTGGGGTGCCACCACTTACCATTCTGAGCCTCCTGTGGCAGTAAAATCTTAAGCCAAGTTGTCAAGTTCATTAATTAATTCTTTCTCACTGTCATAGTACCTGCAGTTATTGATAATAAATTTGTTTCCACACCTCAGCCCAGAATACTTGTATGTATATCTGAGCATTTTTATTGTTACGCATTTAAAATTTGATTGCCCTGTCAGTGTCAGGTTGATGCCCTGTATTTAAATGTTTTGGCCAATTGAAACAACAACAGCAGATTTAATTCTCCTCCTGAGTTATATGGCCGAAGCATATACATATGTACATACATACACACATATTTAAATAAGCTTGTATATGTTTACAAGAAACAGTGCAGCACGTGTTTTTAGAGAGAATCAAAATTATCATATATTCGTATGAATGTATGTATGTATGTACGAGTATTTTGTTTCTATGCTAGTACTGTATCCGAAAAATGTTTATTATTATCTTTTTTTGTGCTGTGTGTGTGTGCATCATTAAAAGTGCTCGGGCAGGCGTTGAGGGTACCTCAAACTTTTACTACTACGTGCTTCTTTCTTATTGCAAAAGGTGTGAATGAAATTTAGCAGGTGTCACACCCGCAATCTCGGGCAGCCCCCCACCCAGATATCCCAGGTAGTACTTGTCTGGGCATCATATTTGTAAAGCGAAAATGAAAAACCCCCTCGGCAGCACTCATTTTGGCTAAAAATTAACAGACGCCCCTCAAGAATTTTGTGTGTGTGTACGAGTGTATGTGTGTTTAAATTTCAATGTCGGCGCCATAGGAAAAGCGAGCAAAATCGTTTCCAGAAAACATAAATTTTTCAAACGAAGCAAAAACGACGGCAACTGGGCGGAAATTTTGACTGGCGTTTGATTAACAATGAACTTTTCAATTGAATTGTGGCATCTATAGGCACTCGATTGAAAGATCAAAGTGTCAGTTAGGTTGTTGAAATGATTGAGGCTTAAATTAATGCGATTCATTACCACCACCGTCTTAAATTAATTTCATTTCAGGGCAAATGCCTTTGTGGCCAATACATTAGAGCTCGCCTGCGTCGGGCCGGCGTTCTCAATCGCAAAGTGATACAAAGACTACGGACCATATTGGAGCCATCGTCACATGTTGTCTACGAGGTGTTCCCAGCGCTCAATAGTGTAAGTGCAATATGTTTCCAAATATGTACAAATATTAAAATAATAAGTATTACGACAATCTCAACCCGGTCGATACGCTGCCATTAACGGTAAAGTGAATCTTTTCTTGGCCGAACACTCAGCGTCGGCCGAATTTTACCCGCTTAAGAGGATACTTTATTTTTTTTATTTATTTATTTATCAACAAACAGAGCTGTCGATGTGAGAAAAAAATAATCAAAACAATACAGGACTTATACTAAATAAGACTAAAGAAAAACAAGAGAGAACGCTACAGTCGAGCAAGCCCGACAGTGAAATACCCTGTACCCAGGTAAACTTTCGACACTATGCGCCCATAGCAGAAGCAAAAAGAGGAAGTAGAAGAGCGAACTTGTTGCTGCAGTTTGGTGGGGTTGTACTGGAGAGAATTTGTTTCGCTAATAACTTTTCTTAAAATTGATCGAATTGGAACAACAGTAGATAATTGTGTGAAAGGTGGACGCTATTGACGAAATTCTGTAGCGGGGGAGAGGGGGGACCTAGGAGAATCTGGATACCAACTTTGGTTGTTATAGCTTTTATAGTTTCTGAGATCCTCCAGATTCATCCAGACGGACAGACGGACATGTCTAGATCGATTTCTCTCATCATGCTGATTCAGAATATATATACTTTATGGGGTCGGAGATGCTTCCTTCTGCATGTTACATACTTTTACACACAAACCTAATATACCCTTTTTACCCTACGGGTACAAGGTATAACAAAGCCTATAAAAGTAAAAAAAAAAAAAATGTCTAATAACGAATCCGACATGGTGGTGGAATTTTATTTGCCCAACTGCCAGCCGTGTACCACTATATTATGTATTCGCACTCTACATCAACATTTCAGAAACTGATTGGTCATTTCTATACGAATCCGTTCACATTGAAATCGCGTCTACTTTTTTCTCTCCCTTTTCGATGTCAGCATTCCCTATAGCGTTGTAGCATCTTCCTCAATTAATTTCAAATACTTTATACCCAAATCGAACTTTCTTCTTCTCAATTCTCACTGTTACACTGAGTATCTTGAGCGCTGTAAAGCTCGATTTCTTCAAGACCCTAAGCAGTTTTTCAATTTTGTGAACTGCAAACGTTAGTAAATCGTCAGCTTTGCCTTCTTTATTTTTTTCTTCATAACGAAAATGCAATAATGATTCGGCTCTTGTTGACTTATTCGGTAAGTTTTATAAGTCAACTTATTCATCTATTAGTTTCAATGGTGATTCATACCCTTATAGAATTCATTAATCTAATTATATTTTTTCACCCATAATTAGCAGTACTTGCATTCTGTCAGGTATTATGGCAGTCAAATCTTCACACTTTCCTTGGCCAGACAACATTCCCAGTTGTGCGCTCAAGGAGTGTTCTACCTCCCTATTCCAACCATTGCTTAAGCTTTTCAATTTGTCGCTTGACACTGCAGTTGTTCCAACTATTTGGAAAAACTCCTTAATTATTCCGCTCCACAAAAAAGGCTGCAAGGCAGACATTTCAAACTACCGAGGTATCGCTTCTTCCTACTATCCTGTCACATTCTCACATACTGATGTATGCTGATGATGTGAAGCTCATCCTATCATATAACGATCCTCTCTGCATGCAGAGATGGTGCTTGGTTAACCAATTACACCTTAACTGTTCTAAATTTAAGTTTATGTACATTTATCGGTCCAGAAATCATCGTATCTACTGCCAAAGATCTTGGAGTTATGTTGAATTGAACTTCAATCTTCATATTTCTTGTATCATACGCAAGGCTAAGGACGTTCTTGGATTCATAAAACGTTGGTCCAAAGAAAATGATGATCCCTAAAAAAACAATGAATTTAAACAAGAAAGTAATGCTAGAGTCTAGCGAACTCATCATAATTTAATTAAATGGAAAATATTCAATGCATACATACATAAATGGAGGCATATGTTTATGTAGAGTTTCAACAACATACAACAGAATCGTGTCTGCGTGTTTATATGCGTTTATGTATAAGATCGGACGCAGAGGAAAGCATTCAATGCAGTCATTTATTCTCAAAATATTTTATAGCTGTAAAAAAAAATTAACGGAGACAACTTTAAACCAATTTCATTGTTTTCCTATTTAAATAGGCCAAATATGTTTAAATTTCATCCATTAAAACAACATGCCCAGTGTAATAACAAAGTTTCTTCAATAGTGTGTATTATTATTGACTGCTTTAATTACGGATTAAATATCCTTTAAACTTAGCTCAGGCATTAATCAATTTAATTACGATATAAGAATTTTTTTTCAATTGGATAAGAAGCAAGATGTTGAGCCAGCAGATTGCCGACTGTGGGTTAACGTACTGTTGAAATAATGTCGCAGGTTCAATTCCCGGTAGTTGACCTCAAGTCACAAGAGTATTAAAGCGTATGATAACATTTTTATGTCCGAAAATAAAATTTATAATAGTGCAACAACAACTTAGTACATAATAATAAAACTAAAAGGAATATAAATAAAAAACAAGAAGCAAAATTGCCTTTCGGCATTTACCGAATTTAAATTATGAAAACAATTTTAACATTTACTTTAAAGTGTACATAATTTGATATCACACTCTTATTTTGTAAAGTGTAATACATATTTACATTTAATTTTCAGATGGGCGAGGAACTGGAGCGCATGCATCCGCGTGTCTACACGAATATATCCCGTCAGCTGTCACGTGCACCATTCGGCGAACTGGAGGACAGCGACATGGCCCCCATGCTACTCAATCTGGTGGCCAAGGATCTCTTTCGGTCGAGCATTACCTGGGGCAAGATCATATCGATATTTGCTGTTTGTGGCGGCTTTGCCATAGACTGCGTCCGCCAGGGCCATTACGACTACCTGCAGTTCCTGGTGGATGGATTGGCCGAAATAATTGAAGATGACCTGGTCTATTGGCTAATCGACAATGGCGGCTGGTTGGGATTGCAGCAGCACATAAGACCGCGCGTTGGGGAGTTTTCGTTTCTCGGCTGGCTGACATTGTTCATGACGATATCGGCAGGTGCCTATGTGGTCTCAAATGTTTGTAAGCGCATCGGCTGCCATTTGTATTCGTTGTTATTTTGAGGGACAGTTTAGGTATGTTTTAACGTGTAACAATTAGTCAGTGAGAACTTTTGATCATTCCTGCTTGTTTGGCAAAAGAAAAGTCGCCTTATATTTTATAAAGAATTCATTATATGTTTAATCTTTGTTATAATTTGTTTTCTCGTATGTACGTTTTTCTAATTTAGGGTCAACTGCGTGAAGTAAATAAACACAAATGTGAAAAGTGAAAAAAAAAACTTTTGGACGGTTTCGTCTTGTGCCCAACCGTCCATGAATGTGTTTCCATCCTTGTCTAGGGGAGTGCTAACTTGCTCTCCTTCCAAACTACACAACTTCCGCGCAGATGAATGTCTATTTATGGTTAAATTTATCTGAAAAATTACTTGAGAATTATAAAATTACTGCGACAGTATGGCAACCTTGTTATTAGTGATGAACCCGTGACAACATTTAGGTGTCCGTGAATTACACCCAAAATCGAATCACATTCCACCAACAGCATAATCACGAATTGAAAAACTCCCATCTCCAAGGCCGATGTCAACAAACAGCAAAATCAAGAAGAAGAATCAGCTGTTCCACGCGGTCGGCGCAGTTGCTCAGTTATTTGTTCAGTTGTAGTTTCGCATTTTACCAAATTTGATGCAAAAATGGTGACAACGAAACTATCAAAAATAAAAGATTCCAATGAAAATCCAAAGAGCAAGGCGGCCAGTCAAAATAGCTGGCAAAAGGTTAAAATCAAAGGCCACGTGATATCCGATGATTTCAGCGGCTCATTGGGAGGATTGATTGGCTTGGAAGTGTTGAACGACTACGATCCAAAGATTGTGAAATCAAGTACAAAAAACCGGGGCAACAACAAACAAGATCGGATCGTAAAAAAAACACCTATCAAAAAACGCAAAGCTGAAAACAATGTGTCGGACTCGGATAGTGAGACCGAAGGCTCGAGTGACGATGAGAATATACCTGGAGTAAAGGTTCAGAAACCGAGCAAAAAGGCGCATGCGGAGCGCCATGCACAACGAATGTTGAAACAGCGCGAGAAACGTGAGAAGCGCAAGGAAATCCGTAGACAGCAGAAAGTAGATGGAAAGCCGACACCGACAGCAGCTAATATAAAGACCCCCAAAGATCTAAAGAGCAAATATACGCCAAATGATGATTATCCGCCAGATCGCTTTGTACTACTGCGCCCCCCGTCTGCTGAAGACCTCGAAGAGGATTCCGAAGAGCTTGATGAAGTGGGGGAGGAGAAAGAAGCGAATAGTGACGAGGAAGTGCCGGAGCTGGTGTCTCTTACGACTCCCGCTGAGGAAAATTTAGTAGGCTGGAATGGGCTCGGCGTGCCGCAGCCCATTTTACGTGCATTGGCCGAGCAGGGGTTCATGTCACCCACACAGATTCAGACTCTGACGCTGCCCGCAGCTATACTTGGCAAGAAGGATATATTGGGCGCTGCGGAGACGGGCAGTGGCAAGACTTTGGCCTTTGGCATACCGTTGCTTGCTGGAATAATGGAGCTAAAGCAACGCAGCATAACGTCTGGAATACGGAAAGCACCGCGGGTCAAGGGAGCTCAAAAAACTGAACCAGCCGATGAACACCACGAACTTACACCGCCGCCCGAGGAACTGGATTACGTGTCTGGTGCCAGCGATGAGGACAGCGATACAGGACAGCAATCCGGGTCGAAAATGGGTCCCCTCTACGCTTTAGTGCTAACACCAACAAGAGAACTAGCCGTACAGGTGAAAAATCATCTGGTGGCCGCTGCCAAGTACACAGGCATTAAGGTAGCTGCCATATTTGGTGGCCTTGCCGTTGCCAAGCAGGAGCGCGTGCTGCGCCAATGTCCCGAAATTGTGGTTGCCACGCCAGGCCGCCTTTGGGAACTCTACACCCAGGGAAACCAGCATTTGAAGAAAATCGAGCATGTCAGCTTTCTAGTTATCGATGAAACCGATCGCATGGTGGAGAAGGGTCACTTTGAAGAACTCCGCAGTCTGTTGAAGGTACTCAATGCGGATGAGCAGCGCAAGCAACTGCGCCAGAACTTTGTGTACTCCGCCACCCTGACTCTAGTGCACGATCTGCCGGAGCATATGCAAAGTAAGCGCTCACCCATGCATGTGAAATATATATTTTATTAATTGATTCAATCTTGCAGAGCGCAATATGGGAAAGCGTCCCAAGTTCGTTAAGCAGACAGTGGATCAAAAAATACAAGGACTCATCGATGAGCTGGGCATATCACAGCCCAAAATTGTGGACATTACGAGCAGTCAACGTAAGTCAATCTTAGGTTTCTCTCTCCTATGAAATTAAATAATTTGAACCTCTTGCTTCGAAGTTTCTAAATGATGACGTAGCTTCGATAATTCGATGCACTTATATACTGGCTATAACTTTTTTGAAGAACAAAAAAGATAATGTCCATTAAAAGCCCTTCCTAGAATTAATTTATTTGTCATTTAATAATGTATGAATAAATATCTATTAATCTTCTTTCATCACCTTTCAGAAACGGCACAAACGCTTACAGAAAGCCGACTCGTGTGCTCCATAGATGAAAAAGATTACTACCTGTATTACTTTATACAGCGCCATCCCGGACGTACCATAGTTTTCTGTAACTCGATTGATTGTGTTAAGCGCTTAGCCACGCTCTTTGGCCTTCTCGACTGTAATCCGTTGCCACTTCATGCAAACATGATACAGAAGCAACGATTAAAAAACCTCGAACGCTTTCGTGACAATCCCATTGGCCTGCTGATAGCCACAGATGTAGCTGCCCGAGGCCTGGACATACCCAATGTGGAACATGTCATACACTATCAGGTGCCGCGGACCAGCGAGAACTATGTGCATCGCTCTGGGCGCACCGCTAGAGCTAATAAACATGGCATCACGGTCATGTTCATGGAGCCCGGCGAAGTGAAAAACTATGTGAAGCTGTATAAAACCTTGGAGCGAAGTAGGTTTTGTTTTTTTTAATACAATCATGCTTTATTAATACTACTTTCCGCTTAATAGCCGAGGATTTGCCTCTATTTCCTATTTCCGAACGTTTTCTGTCTGCTGTCAAGGAACGTGTTAATTTGGCCCGCGATTTGGACAAGGAAGAACTAAAGCTGAGAAGGACTCAAAGCGAGATAGGCTGGATGAAAAAGCATGCCGAAGAAATGGACATGATTATAGATGGCTTCAATGATGAGTCGTAAGTTGATACATATATACAATTTTAATGCTGGATCACATAGTTTTTGTTTTTAGTGGCAGTGATATGGACGAAGATGCATTTGTCATCGAACGAAGACGAAATCGCCTGCATGTGGAGACGGTTCGGGCACAACTTTGTGCCTTGCTGAGTCAGCCCATCTTTCCAAAAGGATTTAGCTTCAGGTACTTTAGGACAATGTATAATGCATTCACTACATACATATATTTTTCACGCAGATATCCAACAAGCACAGGACAATTACTTCCCGCTTCGGAGATTGCACCTACTCAAGCAAACAGCGCTGTGGAAACCATGAAGGCAGCCATCGAAGACATGAAACAATCGAAAAAAATGCGCAACAAACGAAAACATAATTCTTAATACAAATATATATGTATGTATATTAAACTGTACAAATAAATAAACACTTATTAACTAAAATGGAACGTTAGTGCTTGGATACATAGTAGCGCACGCCAGCCTCGGTCAGGCAGCGCGCATGCTTGGCCAGTAGGGTGGAAACAGAGAGTGTAGGTGTGGTAAAGCACCTGTTCAAATGAAGTAATGGATGAATAAGTAGGGTAGTCGGCACAGAAGGATCTTTGTAGAATTTTGAGTGCCAACTATAAACTAGTACCTCGAAAAGTATAAATAATTTATGGTAAGTGTTATCAAATTTTACACATATCGAATACATATTATGAAATCGCTGTTTTTGCAACACGCAGAAGGCGTTAGTATACACATTCTCCTAGTTTTTTATTTTTCGATCGCAATAAATATAATATGGGGTCAGTTTTGTCCATCTGAACGGAACAAAAATGTATGCTATAGCATATCTTTCTTAGTTTCCCTTTACAACTATTTTCCAAATCAAAAAAAATGACAAAAAAAAATTAGAACTTTGAAAATCGAATGTATGTTTACGGAAGTTTGTTTGAATATGACTTTTTATCAACCTTCCAACAATTTCTTAACAATTCTCACTATCAGTTCTGAAGAGTTTTCCCAATAACTCTAAATTGAGCACCTAGGTTTTTTAATTGACATTCAAAGTCCTATAATATTTATACTTACTCAATATACGGCTCCATCTCCTCCAATGTCCATTTGCGCTTGGTTTTGAACAGGGCACGCATACGCTCGTGTATTGTAGTGGGCAAATGCTCCTCGGCCAAGGACCGAATGCAGGGCTGTGCACCTTCCTTGTCGCAGATGCCTAATCCACGCAAATATTCGATGCGACATGTCATGCCTTCGGGAAGTGCGTCTTGCCAGGTGCTCATAAACTCTTCGTTGCGAAAACGCAGACCTGGCTGGAGAATATTCTGTGCCACAATTCGTGCTACCAGTTCTTCTTGATACTTAAATTTTTCAGGACACCGAACACTTGGGACTGTGTAAATGTCGAAGAGACCAGCAACAATGCTTTCCGGTGCTATGCCTTCCAATGCAGCGATTGTCTCCTCGCGTTGTACCTCGTCTAGCTGCCAGGAGTTTTCGCTAATCAAACCCAACATGAGATTGACAATGCGATATTCGTACTCATAGTCGAGGACGCGCAAGTAGCCATTAAATTCCAGTGCACGATACTGACGCAAACCTTCAACAAATTCAGCTCGACTGCACTGAACAGTATCTAACAGTTGCTGGAAGCTAAAGAGAAGCTTACGTTCAATAAACTCCTCATTCTCGGAACCAGAGAAACGTGTCATCTGTAGCAGCTCGCCAAGTTTACGATAACGAGGTTGTATCTGACGGCACTCGAAATACTCGTGGAATATGCCGAGCACCTTGCGCTGATCGAGCGTGCGTGGCACCTCCAGTTCGTCCTCGGCACTGTCATTGAGACTGCGCTCTAACGAGCTATTTGCATTACTAGTTCGGGGGCTCTTTAAAGGAGAGGTGCTCGTGGACGCTGCAAACTTTAAATCCGGCACCAGCAGCAAACTGTTCGAGATCTCAGCACCTTTGACATCGTAGGTGCGCTCGTCTGTGCACAATACGAGCTTTTCATGCAGACCACCCTTGAAATACAGGGATTGTCCGTTTCGGATTTGCTGCAGCATGTGGCCGTCGAGCTCCAGCAATCGAATGTTATCCGCTACTATATCAGCGGAGGGATAATAGAGCGCCTGAGTGCATCTAAATGAGTTGATATTTAGCTTGATGGCCACAGTGATCTCGAAAAGACTTACTGCGTAAGCTGCCGTTCATCGAGCTTGGCGTGTCTAACTATGGCTTTCACATCTTCCGGCGTGCGCACGTATCTGTACAATTGGTAAATGTTAGAATCAATATGTTCCAAAATATTTTATGTAATGCCTACTTACAGCTGTGGCGCATTTTTATTTACTTCCATATGTTCCATGTTCTCAAATTATTACAAGCTACTCGCGCCAAAAGCAATGTAACAGCGTTGCCACACCTTAATAGATTTGTGCCCTCAAATACGGACACTTGTTGAATTCATGTCACATACCATGATAAAATACCACAATAGATGTAACTTGAGTTTTTAAACATATTTTATGTTTTTGATGAATGCTTTATGGTAATTAATAAGTTACTTCTACGGAATATATTGACATACGTTGTACATATGTATTTCGATTTTATTATGTGGGGAATATAAATTTAAGGCGGCCAACCGTCCCGCATTGTGCGGGACAGTCCTGCATTGACAGGTGTTGTCCCGCATTAAAAAATCGAATAAAATAGTCCCGAAAAACCTGAAACGCGTCCCGCATTACCAACATGACATTTAAAATACATTATATAATAGAGTACGAGATAGAAGACCATTGTTTTTATCTACTGCATCTCCTCCTGCTCTCCTGTTTGACAAAACAGCGGTGAATTGAGGTGCTTAATAATCTAAGAGAAAAAGGAATACCAATGCAAAATTGACTATCATCCAGTACCTACTCTGTTTTTATTTTCATTGATAATTGCTTTGTTTTTCTTTTAAAATATAATATTGGCAGTTGCGGACAATTTAATGACATTATAAATAACAAGAGAGAACGCTAAGAAAGCCCGACAGTGAAATACCCTGTACCAAGACTAACTTCCGGCAATGAGCTTATGCGTCCCTAGCAGAAGAAAACTTGATGCTACAGTTTGCCGATGTAGTACTGGAGTAAAATTGTTTCGGTAACTTAGAATTGACCGATTTTCATAAAATTTGAAAAAAAAAATATATATATTTATGTATATATAATATATATACATCTATACATCTATACATCTAGTCCAATCATACCTGTCCTGTCGCCATCAAGCAGTCGTCACCTCGTGTAGTGTTTCGTCTTTTCTGTTAATAAAACGTGGAGTCCCACAGGGTTCAGTGCTAGGGCCCCTGCTATTTTCTATTTATGTTAATGACCTTCCATGTTCTGTGTCAAACTGCGATATTCACTTGTATGCAGATGATGTTCAGTTGTATGTTAGTCGTCCGTTAGATAGATTAAAAGAATGTGTACGTGCTTGTAATGACGATCTGTTGAAAATCAGTGAATGGGCGAGAATAAATGGTCTGGAAGTCAATCCGGAAAAATCTAAATGCCTGGTAATTTATAAAAAGAAAATTAACTTACTTAATCTAGAGAAATTACAACTGAAAGACAAACATATTGAATACGTAAGGCAGGCAAAAAATTTAGGGATAATCATTAATGAGACACTATCATGGCACAATCATGTTAATAATGCTGTAGGAAGAACGTATAGTGCACTTAGGTTTCTCTCTTTGACGCAGAATTTCCTCCCAGCCAAACTCAAGCTCCTTATTGCTAAGACATACTTGATACCCTCACTATTTTATGGAGTAGAATTATTCGGAAACTGTGACGCCGTAAGCCAGAACAAACTAAAAGTAGCCTTTAACAGCATTGCACGTTATGTCTTTGATATTAAAAGAAGAGAATCCATAACGGAATACGCAAAACTAATTTTTAACTTGACTCTTAACTCCTGGATTAAACTTAGGACCCTAATTTTTATACACAGAACCATTACTCGAAAAGAGCCGAATTATTTGTATGACAAAATTTCATTTACCTCATCAAGAAGAACAAATAATATAGTCTGCATAAGATATAGATTATCTTGTTCCGAAAAACACTTTTTTATATTTGGTGTTCGTCTGTGGAACGAGTTACCGCATGGCTTAAAAACAATCAGCAATGAAACGCATTTTAGAAATAGAATTCATGCGCACTATCAAGAAAATACCTAAATGAAATAAAGTAAGATCACAATATTAATACATTTACACTCAGTAGGCAACATTTTTGTTCTGATTATAAAATAATAATAATATTAAAAATAAGAACCAAATACACTTTAAATTTATGTATAATTAAAATGTATCTAATATAAATAGGTTAAGTACGCTAATGAAATCACTTGAATTTTAATAATATCTAAGGAAATTTAATTAATGTGACTAGTGCATTAATTTATAAGAATCATTCTTGTAGCACTAGGAATAAATAAATAAATAAATATAAATTATCTTTGCAAATATGGTTTATGGTCTTATTTGGTTAATGTGCGCTCAACCGTTTTCAGACGGACGGACATACTTTGATCGATTTCTCTCGTCGTGCTGATTAAGAATATATGGGGTCGGAGATGCTTCCTTTGCGCAAACCTAATATATACTTTTACCTTACGGGTACAGGGTAAAAAAATCCAGTACTGGTCAAAAAGTTTCACTCGTGTGAAAAATATGATTTTAAAAATAAAGAAACAAACAAATTGAAATATTGGATAATTATTTTAAGTGTTTAATATTTACATACATATGTAACTGTACATATTTTTTTTTTTTTTTTCGTATTTTATTTAAAACTGTCCATCATGGACAATCATTAAATTGGATAAATATAAACTTCACAGTTTATTATTTCATTTAGAATGTGGTTGTAGTATCCGGATAGTCCCTGGGGAGGTCCTGAGCAGCCTCCTGGTCCGTTCGCTGTTGTCCAGCAAGTTCATCGCCAAGTTGTTGGGGTGGTCATGTAGCCTCTGCATGTACCGCTTGCTGATTTTCTTAACTTCGTCCTTCACCCAAGGGAAGCTGAGGTCTTCATGATTAGCATGACAATACGAGTCCATCTATGTATGTCTGTCTGTCTGTCCGTCCGTATGAACACCTGGATCTCGGAGACTATAAGAGGTAGAGACACCAAATTTGGCACAACGATGTCTTATGTGTGTAAAATAAATAAATTAAAAATAAAAAAGCCTTCGAGGGAAGAACTTTTTTAAGCGATGAAGAAGTAAAAGAGATGCAGTGTCAGCGTGTTTCTCAAAGGCATACATACATAAGTTAATTGAAGGGTCGGAAAAATGTTTATCCTTACATACAGATGGATGAATTGAAAAGAAAAAATAGATTTTAAATATTAAAATAGGAGTTCAAAATCATGAGGCCTTTATTTTAGCTCTGTCTTAGCTCCCCAGAGACTTCGGGAGCTGGGTTAGGAGGTTTTATTCCACCGGTTTTGACATCATTACCAAGTTTTCTGAATGGGGGAAAAAGCAATCAGTGGAGGTCTGCGAAAATCGATTGACCGTGTTTCGCAGCAACAAGGACCTGAGCTTTGAGACGAAAGGAATTATAAAAAATGCCTTTAAACAATTTGTATTCCGGCTAAGCCAGCAGACTAATATAAGTTTCCTTCCCACGCCGTCTCGTTTTCAGCTTACACTAGAAATGATTTCGAACTACCAAATTTTATAAAGTGCTTTAATGCAATATTGCTTATAACTACAGAGGTTCGGACTACTTTTGATCGCTGGTCTTTTAAAAAAACAATATACGTTTATGTATACATTTTCGCACTTCAAAACCGTTGCTCAGCCAAATCCAATCCTATACACATCTGAAAAGTTATAGATTTTTCTTATCTTTCGCTTTCAATTTGAAAACTTTATTTTTAGAGACGTACATATATGTACGATTTGGCGTCGACTAAATGTACATTAATTATTTATGACAAAACAAAAAACTGCCGTGAATGTATTTAAATATCACGTCCAGTTTCTAAGGCGCCAAATATTTTCGTTTTCGTGCACTGGCTTATCGACGCATATTACGCAGCACTTAAAAAATATAGTGTGCAAACGTATGTATGTATGTACTTCATACATAAGTAAATAAATAAATACAACCACCCATTTCAAAATATGTGGAACGAGGTGATTGTGATATTCTTGAGCTCAGATTCGATGCACCTTTTTTGTGCCATATAACACGATACTCCTAATAAGTCTTATTAAGTCAGATCGACTTTTAAGAAAATTACGCAGTTGAGCCCATAAAAGATCAAACAAAGAGTAGAAAGTACAATGGCCACTCCAAAGATACCATTGCGGCAAGCTGCCATTTCGGTACAAAGATTTAATGACGCTGTTCCCCACCACTTAAGTTTGCTAAAAAACCACCGAAGCAATATTGAGAAAAGCTTAGCGATGGGTGATTGGCAGAAAATCAGGAAGGAGGAGCTCAATGCCATGCGCGTCATCAAGCAGTTAAAGAACTTGATGATTGAAATGGACACCCTGCGTAACAAGGTCGAGGACCGTGAGGGTTTTGATGAATTAATGCGAGATGGAAAGCAAAAGGCGTTTGAGGGCATGAAGAAGGAGTTTGCAGGTATCTAAAGTAACGATACTTGAAAGAAATCTATAACTACAGCAACCAAATTACAGAGCTACAGCTTAAGCTAAAGAAAGTAAATTATGACGACGAAGAGAACAATGAACCCTCATCCGATGGAAGCAATCAGCATTGCATGCTGCCGCCATTGCAGACGAATTTTCGATTAGAGGAGCATCAGCTAGCGCAGCGACAGGCCTGCTTGAATGAGCTAGAGCATTTACAGACCGAAATGCAGGCTTTGAATGGATTGTTCCACGACATACAAGGCCTGGTACACGAGCAGGCAGAAAGCGTAAATATTGTAGCAGACAATGCAGAAGACGCGCTTGAAAACGTACAGATAGGGGAAAGCAATTTGCGGCGTGCTCTTACGTACAAAAAGGCAATGTATCCCATTGTAGGCGCTCTCCTTGGAACTTGTGTTGGCGGACCAATCGGACTAGTGGCAGGAATAAAAGCTGGCGGTCTAGCTGCTATCGGCTGCGGTGTACTTGGCTTCACAGGCGGCTCTGTCCTTAAGAGCAATCCCACGGTAACGCATGGCAACATCGAAGAGCAGCTCGTGGGACAAGAGCAGGACTCTCCTATGTCAGAAGGGTTGGAGCTAAAGGAAAAGCCAGAATGACACACAGTGTGTGCCACTCTGGCCACCACGAATTCAATCAGCATGCTATCCAGAGCGCGAAGCTATTGTTCCATCCAGTAATAGGCTGGATACTCATTTCCTCCCATTTTGTGATGTTATGTGCAATGAATGAAAAAGCACTTTTAATGCATTTGACATTACCGTTTAGTTTGGTTATATATGTCTCCATGTTTTTTCGTTGCCTACCATAGTTAAAACTACTAGTTTACTCCTAAGCTAAGCTTTAATCGAATTGGCTTCTAGTTAATAAGGCTTTAATGCAATAAACTCGGCGTTAACATGACCATATCGTTATATGTAATCGCGTTACATGTTGGTACTAAATATCTTATACTAAAAACGATGTCCTTTCAGAATCTAAAGGGGAACATTAACAGTTGTCCAAGCCTGCTTGAAGTTCTTCTTCTGTGAGTGCTGCTTTTTGCGAAGACGCTTGGCCGTCTTACGATTTTTGAACCACGGAGGATAGTTACCATACTGATCCTTAAGCGTTTTGCTATTGTATACGTGCTCCTTGCCCGTGTTCTCGTTTAACGTTGCCACTTGTTGACCCTGCTCTTGATTTTCCTCGTGTTCATAGATAAGTTCCTGCTCCTCTTTGCTCTTGGCTTCCTGCAAAATTGATCTCAATTATACTCTTCTGACGAAGAAGGGCTTTTAAAATGGCCTTTTTAAACTCAACTAGAAACTTTAGTTCTGTTAAAAGTGTCCAGGGTACAAGTTTTTCATCAAAAAATTGCAGTCCCTGCTGGACTGTGTCTTTTCTGAACTATCCGTTTTACCTTTTAGTTCAGAGTAATAAGGCCATTTATTTCACCTTACCCGTTTCAGTTCCTTTGAAGTTTTAACTTCTGCCACATCGGTTATATCTTTTATAATCTCATTACCATCGGCGTCTATCAAACCAAGCGTCTTTTTTAAACGAATAAGCTCTTTTTTCTCGTAGCGAGCCTTTTTTATTTTGTTCATTTCATCGCGACGCTTACGAGATCGATTTAAACGGCCCATGATATTTAATTAATAAAATAATAATACAATAACTGCGTAAAATGTTTACACGTGCTGTAAGTCAACTAGAGATGAGCACCACTTTCATAAACAAGTACATCCAGTTCGAAGGCCTCATGTGGCAACGCCACACTGGTAAAATACCACTTCTTTACGTTTCTGTACCCCCTCTAAAAATTCTATTCAGCCAGCATGGACGAGTTGGTGGCCGCCAAACAGAACTGGACTGAACAGGATCGCCTCGAACTGGCTGCGAAGCTTGACGCGGAGCTGGATGCCTTCATCGATGGCTTGGAACGTAAACGTTACGAGGAAGGGTGGCCTGAAGACCGCTGGCAGGAGGAAATGGACAAGCATCCGTTCTTCATGAAACGAGCTCCACAACCGGGCGACGAAGTGCATCCAATGTTCGAGGGCTTGCAGAAGCTTAAGTACGATCCGGATGAAAATACACGTGAGGAACTGGCGTTAAACTACAAAGAGGATGGAAACTTTTACATGAAGCACAAAAAGTTTCGCATGGCAGTTTATAGCTTCACTGAGGGTATAAAGGCCAAATGCGAGAATTCGGAGGTTCTGGCCGTGCTCTACAACAACCGGTCGGCGGCGCAGTATTTTCTCAAGAACTACAGATCCGCTTTGAGCGATGCACAGCGTGCCCTCACCTATAAGCCTGACTACATCAAGGCACTATGGCGAGCAGCTCAGTGTGCTCACGAGCTGGACAAGTTCAATTTGTGCACGCAACTGTGCGAGGAGCTGCTCGAGGTGAATATCGATCACAAGGAAGCAAAAGAGCTGCTGCACAAGACCAAAATGAACAAGGTTTGCATTCGCAGTATAACCAGCAAATTGAACACAACTGATTTAATTTCTTGCAGATTGAAATGGAACGCAATCAGCGTAAGCAAGCTGCCGAGGCAAAACGTCGCCTCACACACTTTCACAAGCTGCGGGATGCTTTGGAGCATCGTTCTGTAAAATTTGATGATCTTAAAGCGAACAAACACATAACTGAGGAGCTACTGCGCCCAAAATTTTTGCCACTTGAGGATTTTCCAGTACACTTAGACAGCGCGGATGGCGTCTCACTTATTTGGCCAGCTGCCTTCTCCTATCCAGAGTTCCTGTTAAGTGATTTCCAGCAACAGCTGCCAGAAAGTGCCACTATGACTGATTGCTTGACGACGCTCTTTGCTGAGCCCCTGCCCTGCGATAAGTCAAATAGCTATCGCTTGGGCAATGTTACTGTTTACTACGAGAACCGCAAGGTTGGTTGCGTCCACAAGGTGAGCCTGGAAAAGACGCTGCGCGACATCATAAGCGAAAGAAGTTTTTTCGTTTCCGGTGGCGCCTTGCTGTTCTATGTGGTGCCATCAGGCACACCCATCGAGCAGGAGTTTATACACCAGCAACGGCGGCCACTGATTTACAGCTGAGCTGTAATATGTAAGATCATACGACGGTAATGCCACAAATCAAAACACGTTCTTTTAACAAAGCGCTGTTTTAGTTTTATTATCTTGAGCGGAAAGTTTCGAAGCTGAGATCTAAATTACGGTACAATTGAACTTTGGTTGCGCTATAAAAGCATTTGCAATATAATTTAATTTGTCATTTAACTTCTTATATACTATGTAGTATATGTGCAGTTGTATGTATACACACGCTGGGATTGTTGATATGTTAAGCTACTGCGTTTTGCGAAGCCGAAAGCGTATTCTTAATAAAATTAAGTATAGCATTTAAAATTTGTAACTAAATTTGTCAACAATGAGGCGCCTCTAGGTAAGTCAACAATAAAAATTTGTGTAAAAGCGTTACAATTCTTGTATAATTGAGCAAATGTTTTACTTCCTATAGACATTCATTAGATTGTATAAGGTATATAAGATTATATCTATAATTGGAGCTGTTTGTGCCGCATGTACAAAACGAGCCCAAAGGTGAACAAGTCGTCGATACAAATAACATTAAAACAACCAACATTGAAGGAACAGTCGATTACTACTTCCTTTTGCCCTGATTAGGCGTGTGATATGGTTACAATTGATTTTTAAAACTTATAGCAACAAAAAACATAAAGCTTATGCATATGTATGTAAATTAAAAATTATAAGAAATATGCATATAAGAAAATTAGTTGTTAGCTATTACATACATAGAATTATCCGAATCTTCGGCCGATCTCAACACTTAATCGAAATGAAAATCACAATTTAAAGACTTATAAGCAACGGGAACTTAAATACAAATTACTGGGAAGATCTAATTGGTTACTCACGGCTGCTGAGTCTGCTGATTCCGTTGAAGCACATTGTTCAGCCGCATTCTCAGAGGTGAGAAGTCGATTTTCTTAAATCGCGGCAACGAGGCAAATTTTTTCATGCTACCGCTAGTAGGCTGTAGTTCGCTTGGTGTGGCAATAGATTTCGTCATGGCCACATCGCTCGCCTCCACCGCTTGTGCCTTGATATTGGCGCTCTGATTAACCTGGAGCTGATGTTGTGGCGACTTCGTCGGTGAGTTGCCGAACTTGGCCAATGTGGCATATCTCTGGAGCAAGCGCGTTGCACTCTCAGCTGCCTGATAACAATGTTCGTACTCTTCTTCTAGTTTAGTAGGCACAATGCTCGTTTGATGCACTGGTGATTCTTGAATTGGAATGGACTTTGCCGGTTGAGCCTTTGGATCGCTAGATTTGTTATCGTCAAATTTGAAATCAATGTTTTGCAACATGGCCAATTGAAGCAGCTCCTCCTCCATTTTCTGCTGCACGTCTGCACCTAGATTGTTCACGTCATTATTGTTGTAGCTGTTGCTACTATGCCATTTGCCATTACTGGCTCCATGGGTCACAGCATAAACGCCCTCGGAGATTTTATGGGCGGCAGTCTTTTTAGTTTGCATTTTAGTCTTTGATGCGGATGATGCTGCTGATGATGATGCTGTTGATAATGTGGGCGATCGCTTTTGACGCTGTTCAATAATTTGTTGCGGTGATGATATGTAGAGATTCTCTTTGCGCTCGCGTCGCAGCTTAGCACTTACCAAATGTCGGAGACCACTCCCATTGTCAGTGTTGGGGCTGCGCCGCTTGGATTTCAGTGTGTCGCAGCTATTCGGATAATAAGAGGGTATCTTGTCATCTACGCTTATTATGGACCTGCGTGGTGTTTGATAGTAATCCTCTTCTTGTTTGGTGGGTGCTGTCTGGTTCTTGGGTGTCCCTTTCTGTGGCAACACTGGCACCAACGGTGACTCAGTAGGAGTACTGGTGCTCAGTCCATAGCCCAGCGGGAGCTCCAACTCCTGTTCCGCCTTAACAGTTAACAAATTTTCATATAGGTGATCAACGAAACCGCTGTTCGGAGTTGCTGTGCTATTAAGCGAAGAGACATGCATGGGTTCGTAAATCCCGCTCTCATTCGAGACCATTGGTGGTGGTGGCGGAGGTGGTAGGGGAATTTGCGCCTGGGTTAACGTCTTACACTGTTGATCCTCGTTATTACAACTACTCGATGAGGAGCTGTAGGAGCCCGTCGAATAGCCAGAGGTACTCGAGGATGTGCTTGTCGTAGGCTGTTTCTCTATCTGTGCAGTGTTTTTTTTCACAATGGGCGCCATTACACAGTAACCTGAGACATCATCAACCAGAATTTTGTTTTTCTGTAAGAGAGTATTGTTCGGAACAGCGCCATTGGCTCCAATGAGATTAATCTTGGAAGTGTTACACGCAGAAAAATTAAAATTATGTGGCAACTGCTCAGACACGTTGAGACTTTCTAGCGAATTTCCTTTACTCAGCTGCTTTGTAATCTTAGCCAGCAACAAATCGCGCGATACCGGTTCAATAACGGATTCATCCAGACTAACATTCAGTTCTCCGCTGGACTCCTCTGATTCCATTTTTAGCATATCCGCTATGTGGGCTTCACCACATGTGTCAAGAAAATTCAGTTTTGATAGATCGGGACTGGAGAAACTGTTGCGCTGAAATTTTACGATGCTTGTGGGAGTTCCACTGTTTCCGCGAGTTGGTGTTGTGTTCTCGTAGATCACTGGTGAATTGTGCGGCTGCTGGACGGGTTCACTTATGCTTGCCGTGCGCTTTCCACGAGAAGTGCCAAAAATGTTTTCTAGCATGTTCTTGTATTTTTTCTTTTTGGCTAGGTCCGATTCGGGATTGGTGCTGCAGCGGGGCAACTCATCTATCCTGCCATTCTGCGGTGAGCACTCGAAGGTGTTAATACGCTTGCGATGTACGGGTAAAGGAGGAACGGTTGGCGGCACCTCTAATTCAGTGGACGGTTTCATTTCTTCGTAGATACCTGATGCAATGGACGCACGTGATATACGACTGCCATCGAAAATCTCCTCATATATTTGTGAAACGCGCGAAATTCGTGCTGAAAAGCTGTTGGCATCCAGACCATAAACATCCGGCAATGTAGGCAGGGGACCAAGAGCATTTTGTGCACTGAAAAATATTACAAATTTTTTGCATATGTATGTATGTATATTATCACCAATCGAGGAGTAGAATGAAAACGCACCTGGGCCCGCGGCTAAGTCTGCGCTGTTCTAGGAAGACCTGGCGATACAGCTCAAGATTCTTAATGGACTTTTTCATCCACTTCATGTGCCGCCTGCAAGAGGTCTCCGTTTCCAGGGCAAAGTAAATAAAACAATCACGTCGATTCTGCGTCCAGAAAAGTCCATACGAGTGCTGTTTTGTGCGCGATGTGGCCAGGCTGATGCTTACTCCAGGAACGTTGACCGAAACGCTCAGCAGCTCTGAAGCGTCTCCCGCGCTTTGGAAGCTCAGGCGTAAAAAGCAGGGCACACATTTAATGGCCTCGATTTTTACCTGACATCTGGTCCACGTACGTAGGGCAGTTGCGCGCTTGTCCTGGGTGTCAAGTTTCACGTCCATGAACATGCAAATCTCGTTGTGATTCATTCTGATGGTCGGCGGTGGGTGCTTGTCGGTGGTGGGTATATGTGATGAATAAGCAAATGAAAATGTTTAACAAACTTTTTGAGTCCTTTTGCAAATTACATGTTTTCTGCAAAGGGTGTGGAGTGTTGGAGCTACATATATCCAATAAAGTGTTGTTAAATTCTGTTCAAAATCCGCCCTGTGGAAATAAGTGTTTATAGCGCCCTCTGGAGTTTATTGAAGAGTTAAACATTAACAGTACTTTGAGTTGAACTACAGAAGTGTACTATGTAAGTACGTATATACTGTTTACATCAATTTGCTAATAAGAATATGGATTTTCATCCCAGTCACACCAACGAGAAAGAAGAGAAACTTTAATTCGTATTAGAGGCAATAAATTGTGATTTGGAAAAGATTGTGTAAATCTCCACACAACATTTTCATTTGTGTTTGAAATTCCCATACTTGAGCTGATTTATATTTGTCATAAATTACTCTATTACAAGTTAAAATCAGTTTTAGGAATACCACTCGGCCTATACTCAGCGAAAATGTACAGTGCTGGCAAATACTCAGTAGTGATATCGATAAGAACAATGTCGATTAATTTTCACACATCACTAGGCACGCTGCAATTTTTGGCGGCCAGAAAGAACCATAGAAAGAGCGAGCGAAAAACAAATAGAATTTAAATGTGTAAATAAATTGTGTGCACAATATAAACCACTGCAGCTTCTAAAAACAAAAAAAGCGAAAGAAAAACGATTGAAAATGTCTGCGAGTGCTGCAAAAGTCTACATTCAGATTGAGAGCGACGCCGAGCAGCAGGAGCACCTAAAACAGCAACGCAAAACATTGAAGCCCATTTTGGGCAACGTCAATGACAAGGAAAATATAACGGGACGCGTCTCCATCGTGGATCAACTGAGTCGTTTGAAGGCTGGCGTCAATGCAACGCCGAAATATGGAAAGCGCAAGTGCATGGAAACGGGCAGCACTGCGCAACTTCATGACGCGGACACACAGACCGATGCAACGCCAAATGACGCTGACAAGCCCATTACAGTCGATGACCTGACCAGCGTATGTGAGGCGGGAGAGAACTACTACAAACGCTTGGCAGAGACCCGACGCGAAGCTCTCGAGACGACGCTGAAAGAGAATCAGCATTTGCACGAGCGAATTGAGGGTCTGGAAGAGGAGATGGGAACGCTGCGCAAGGAGCTTGACGAGGCTAAATGTTTGGTTGAAATGCTCAAGGAAATTATCGATGAAGACCAAAGTGGCGAGGAAGACGAGCAACGGACAGATGAAGACAACGCAGCCCAAGTCGAATAGGACTAGTTACTAATGTGAACTAAATATGAAAAATCCTTATCTTTAGTCACATACATATATATACATATATAAATATAGTTTCTCATGTTAATTTATGTTAATTCAATGGACTGGTATACACCAGCGGTATTTTCTAGTTAATCGTCAGTTTTTGATTCAATATTAATAAATGTATTCGCTTATTTGAATGATCACTCTCGTTCACCAACTGGTAATAATCTCCTCGCTGTGAAAGTCATCCACATTGAATAACTGGAAACGTAACAATTAGGAGGGATTCCGTTTTTCATGACATAATACTCACAGCATCTGCGGGCACCTCGACGATTTCTTCATACGATGAACCAGTATCCTCGATGTTGCAGGTTTCCTCCTTAACTTGGGCAGCATCTGCTGCAGCGGCCGCTATCAACAGTGCAGTCTCAGAATCTGTAGCTGCTGCATCGGATTCTTCAACTTCACTAACCGTACGGTCATCTTCTAGTTTTATTGTGGACCCCATGACAAGACCGTGCGCCGATTTCATGTGTAGACGCAGGCCAAATGGACGCGCATATTCGGCGCCACATTCCACACAGGAAAACTTGCCCGAACCTCCGCTACTAGTGCCCTTGCCATCTTCGCTCCCCGTCTTTTCGTGCGACGCCATATGCGCCTTGACGGCATACAAGGATGAAAATGGCCGACTACAAATAACGCATTGGAACGGTTTGGTGTGAGTGTTCTTGTGTGCGTACAGTTGTACAGATGTGCGGAAGGCTTTTCCACAAGCATCGCACGCATACTGACGCTCCGTACTGTGGGAACTCAGGTGATGTGAGTAGACCTGGTGGGATTTAAAGCTAGAAGAGAACAAATCGAATTGATAATACCATCTATAAACCAGTAGGTCCGCTAATAAATGGCTGACATTTTCTCTTTTATGTACATTGCACATCGATTGCTTTACTAGCGGGTCAGACTACTATACTATATCACATGGGAAGTTACGAATAGGCTGGTGATCAAATTGGAGTAACTCAACAAAATTTTAGATGAAATTGATCAAATTAATTTTGAAAAATATACTTGAATCGCACTAAAACACATTCAGCCGTCCGACTAGCGCAACTATCCGATTCCAAAACGAAATCTTTTTTGGAATTCCATTTTAATACGCACCGTTTATTACACGTTGTGCACACGTATGGACGTATATTGGTATGAGTCCGCAAATGAAGTGTTAGCGAGTAGGAGACGCGAAACATTTTGCCGCAGACCTCACAACTGTAGGGCTTCTCGCCAGTGTGGACCCGCTCGTGCTTCACCTTTTCATAAGGCCGCGAAAAAACTCGCCCGCAGTACTGGCAAGGGAAACCAGGTTTCTCACTGCTAGGAGATGGCAGCTTAGTGGGCTCCTGAACTTTATCGTGCAGCTTCATGTGCATTTCGTAGTCTATGGCACTATCAAATTTGCGGTTGCATACGCTGCACATGTGCTGCTCCTTGCCCTGATGCATTTGCTTGTGCACGGCCAAAAGATGTTGGTCAAAGCTGGGGAGAAATGGATTAGTTCAGCAACATATCTCAACATGGATTGGCTTCTCACCTCTTGTTGCAAATTTCGCAATGGAATTGGTCTAGGTCATTATACTGCTGATGTGCGCCCACTGGTAGCGCATCCTGTATGCGCTTTACCGCACGCTTTTCATGAATGCGCATGTGAAACTTGAGGCCCCTAGCCGAGCTGAAGATCGTGTTGCATATGTTGCATGTGGAGGGACTTTTTGACGGAACATCAGCAGCCCGCTTTTTGGGTGGCACTGGCGAATCGATCTTTTGTGCCAGCACCGGGTCACTCTCTTCCGCCAGGGGACACGTATGCTCCTCGGCACTATGGCGATCCTCGAAAATGGAGTGGCAGTCGTAGCAAAAATACTTTTCCGAACTGTTACTGGACTGGTCAGCAGCCATTTGTAAGGATGTCTCACTGTCTACGAGCTCCCATAGCGGCTTCTCAGCTACCACTAGCGCTTCTTCATCTGAAAGATCTTCATCATCCAATACCTTGATTTCTGTCTCGTCATCTTCAATTTCTTCAATAATATATTCGGTTCTCTGATCACTGTTACATGTGCCGGGAGCTCCATTGTGTGCCGCCGTGTAGTCTTTCATATTGGCAAAGCTGCAGCCACAGTCCTCGCAGAAGTAAATTTCGCTTTGCTTCCCTTCAATCTGTGCGCAGCTAAACATCGCTTCATCATTTTCATCTTCAATAGAACTAGAGGCCTCCACGTGCTGTGATTGTAACAGCGATGCTGTGAGATTGCTTTGATTGTGCGCTGTTATTGAGGTTTTCCGATTAAGTTTTGTTATTTCAATACTTCTGCTCACATACGCACCTGACATCCACCTTGATTGAGATACACCTCGAAAAAATGGTATGGTTCAAATGAAAAGCAAAATCAGCTGCACTTATATGATAATGATGGACACTTTTCTGTTTCTGTGACTTGGTCACAAGAATTTTGATATCTGATAAAATACTAGAAACGTTAACAGCACTGGAAAAATAAATAAAATTTTAACATTCATTTAAATCGCGGGTTGGCAGCTTGGTGCACAAGACCGCGAATTTTTCACTTTGAAAATCGGTTCTAGCAACTAAAAATCACATATTGAGTTTCAATAAAGTTTGATTATTAAAGTCGCTGTTATTTTGAAGCCCTGTATCGAAAATGGTAAAAGCTATCTCGGAACAAGGTTTGTAAAACCTGAAAAACTATTTCCTTGTTAGTTGGCTATGTACAATGTTTTTACACGGTAGATTGGTTCCTAAAAAGTCGTGTATAAAGACATTGATATATGCAAAATGAGTCAAAATGCAAAATGCTAAATGGAATAAAGTCGTGTAACCATATATAACATTTTTAATTTTCAAACCGTATTAAATCAAAACCATGTACAAACAGAATTGGGTGAACTTATAGGGGCACTTCCTAATTATCTTCCTAATTATCAATAAAAACGATTAAAATTTGAGTTTTATAGTTTTTATTTTTCTAATCGTTATTTATACAATTTGAATGAATTGATAAGGCAATTTGATCGCATATGGCACTAAATTTAAACAGGTTAACTTCTACCGCTTACTGCGCACCAGTTACTCCCAGCTTCTTCTTCAGGGACTCGGGCATCTCTGGTGGTGGTGGACGTGGCATGCGCAGGAACACTTTCACTGCATCGTAGATGAACCACTGTGCCGCAGTCAATGTGCCAATCATGACAATCCTAGGCACCAGACCACCCCACAGACCTTTAATCGTTCAGGGAGATACTTAGAAACAAATCGAACTGAAAAGTCTCGGATGTTTACTTACCCGACCAACCGAGTTGCTTGGCAACATCTATGGCTGAAGCACCCTTAGCCTGGTTCAGTTTGGACACCACAGTATCGGCTGGATGGGAAACAATGGCACAGAAGACACCAGCTATGTAACCCGCGGCGAATGTGACAATCAGCTGTTCACCCTTGGTACAATCAGCTCGTGGCTTGGGTACCACATATTTATACAGCAGCTCAAGCGTGCGCTCAAAGCAGGCAAACTTCATCATCGTGTATGGAATTTGACGCATCCACAATGGCACTAGACCCTTGTAGAATGCCGAAATGCCCTCCTGGGCCGTCATCTTGGGCAGGGCCTCACGTAAAGTTTTCGCAAATCCGGGTGTCGTCTGTATCTTCACCTTGGCCGCCTCCATTGGCGCCAGTGCAATGTCGGCGAAGAACTCAGCCGAGGCCGAGGCGGCCAGATAGAGACCGGTTCTATACAGGAAGGCATTTTCCTCGCCAATGGCATCGGAGTAAATCACTTTGAAAACCTCATACAGACCGAACTTGCACAGACCCTGCATAGAGTATCCAATAAAGGTGGGTGCCCAGCCCTTTGCTAAACCCCTAATGCCTTCCTCGGCCAAACTAATGCGGAAGCCGTTAACAACGCTCTTGTACTTTGCCGGATCCACTTGCAGACGGCACTTCACCAAATCCAGCGGCACGACCATTGTGTGTGTAGAGCCACAGGAAATAATGCCACCCAAACCACACAGCAAGAAATACTTGTTCGAGCCGAATTCACAGGAATCCCCTTGTGCGACCGCTGCGGCTGCAAAGTTATGGTTTGGGGCCAGCTGCCGAGGAGCTACATCGCTGCCACTGGTGGTCAAAGTTGTTGGCGAGTTTGTTGCAGCCTGGCAGTTAACGCTGGTGAATGGCGACTTGAACGTTGAGTTCTGCGCAGCTTCGAAAAGTGATTTGAACATAATGCCTAAATTTTAAGCTGCACATGGATTTGAGAAAGAAAAGAACATTAATATACACGTAAAGCAAATCTTAATGTTAAGATCATCATTTGCCGAATCAGAATAATTGAGGAATATTTTATGCTAGAATTATAGAATCCGTAACGCTACAAATTTCCTTGTCTAAGTAAAGAACTAAGGTTAAGGTCATGATGTAACCAGCTTCAGGGTACACATTTTCAAAAAAGAAGAAAGAAAACGTTTTTTAAGTCTTGAATCTAAAAAGATTTATCAAGTTTGCTTATGTCACCACTTGAATTTATAAAGCACAATGTTCCGATACAAAAACGAAGCTCCAGAAAATCAGATTGATCTTGTATTCTACAGGATCAATTGCTTTCAATATTTTTTACATAACTTTTTCTTTTATTCCACAAGCTCTTTTTATGCAATAAACAGCTAATCGGTTGCGTAATGATATCACGCATATTTTTCTTTTGCCATGTGCGACTATTTTCGAAATTATTTGAATTGTTTTTTAAGAAAAACACTCACTTTAAAACCTATAGACAGTTTAGGTGGATAAAGTTGATAATAGAATAGCTCAAGTAGAGAGTTGTTGTTGTTGTTGGGCAGAAACTTAGAACCCAGAACAACGTTCGCCGTGCGCCAGACCAGAAAACCAAATGCAACAGTTGCAAAAAATATGCGAGATATAGCAGAAAATATTCGAATAGTACCACATAGGGTTGCCAAGTGCGCAGATATAATTAGAATATAGGCAAATTCTTATGAAATATTTTATTTATGTTATGTTCAAAACCCAAAATATTAAAAATGTATACTATAATAGTGTATAATGTATTATACAAATGAAAATTACTACCGACTGCCTTTATTTAATTTTTGAAAAAATAAATATTCATTTTCTGAGATAAATGTAAAAGGTTTAAATATAATATTGAAATTGTGAGTTTGAAACAATTAATTATCTTGGTTGCCAATCAAATCAATCAATCGGGAAAGTAACAGAAAAGCAAATGTAATGCGTTTTTAACCAAAGTAGAAATTTCGCTCTTAATGTTGAATATAGTTTCGGCAACCCAGTACGAAATGGCTGATATTTGTTGTTTATAAATAAACCAATTTGGCCACTGTCAATTTAAAAAGTGGCCTACACCGAAGACGCTTCTGCGTGCTTGCTTATAGAACGAATATACATACATAAAGGCATGTAAAAATAAATTCATTAACGCGTCGCTTTTGTCTCAGCGTGCAGCTGATCGATCAGTCGGAGGGCGTCCACAATCAAGAGTGTTTCTATTTTTTATTGAACACTTGGCACTCGTGCAAATGGTGTCTGGATCAAGGATATTTACTATACTAGGCATAAGATGGCATTGTTTTATGCAAAATTTAAACATTTTATTGCAAACATACAAGTTATGTTCTAAAATTGTAGTTAGTAACTTTAAGACTTAGGCGCTATTACAAAAAGGTATGTATACATATACGCTCCTCACCTCAAGTGCATCTACACACATACATACGTTAATGAATAAATGTATGTACATACGTAAATACATACATACAAATACGCAAGTAAGTACAGACAGTGCTCAGTTATTACAATTCTAGATAGGCTAGACTTAAAACAAATTCTAAACATATTGGAAGTAACTGCATAATAATACTTTTTGCAATAAATTACAGTAAATATGATAAAAATGGCAGAAATGGACAATAAACGACTTTAACATTAATTGGCTGGCTTTCTTGGTTACTTCTTACATTGATGTCAACTGATGCGTTGGGTCACAGTGCCGCTCAAACTGTGTGTGGAAAAAGCGTTGGGAGGGCAGTTGAACTGCTTTTAAAACTAATTGGCAAACAAGCGGATATAAACACTAAAAATTAACATTATAACTTAGGTCCGGGCTACGACTCGGCAGTCTCCATATGCCGATGTACAGTGACTGGGGCCAGTATATAGTGAGGTCGCTGCTCCTCGTCCGCGCACAATGCCAGCGTCGTCTGGCCATATACCATGCCACGACAAGGCGAGGGCGTTGCCTGCTTATAACGCTCAGTCTTCGACGCCGACTGATTGCTCAGATACGGATGTGTGTTGGGTTGCGTCGAGGACTGTTGCCGATTTGTTGGACTTGATATGGATGTCGATATGGACATAGTGTCCGACTTGCTGTGACTGTGCCGCTTGTCATGCAGCAGCAGCGGCTCCGCTAGTGTAAAACATTGCTGGTCGGAGCTGTCCTCGTGCGGTGTCATTGTACTGTAGCCGTTGTCTGACTCCCCATTCGGAGGTCGGCGGAAGCTGCTGCCAGTCGACACGTGATAGGGCGAGATATCCGCCGGATGCATGAGCTGGCGTTGTGCGCTCGCATGATCATAGCCCAGGGGAGGTTCATCGTGCGCCTGACAGTCGTCAAAATTAAAACGCGAGAGCGGCAGGCCGTAGTTTTCCTCCTGCATAGAGTCCACATAGAACTGCTCTTGCGTATCCAGATTGTGGCGATAGCAGTAGATGGCAAAACCGATGACTAGAGCAAGAACCACAATGGCCCCACCCAGCGGCCCGAAAGCAGAGTAAGCGTGCTGGTCTCGTTGAGGATTGTAGCCCTGGGCGGCCAACAACTCCAACTCATCCAGCTCGCCATAGGGCGTCAATGAGGCCAGCATGCCGTTGAAGCAACCTGCTTGTGCAGTACAAAAGGCGGCACCAAAACTATTGCCCTCTACATCCTGCTGACACCACTCACAGCCCATAACGGCCAAGCATTCCTCCTGTGTGGCGTGCGCCTCGCAACTAATTGCCACACAGCTGGGCAAGGCATTGAGCGTCTCCGGTGTGGGTGGGAGCGCCACAAAGTGCTCACCCGGTGGCGAGCAATAAGGAAATTGTTGAGTGTAGTTGGCATACGCTTCCGGAGCAAGCATAGGACACTCGCAAGGACACTCGCAGTCCGTCTGATCCATGCGATTACAATTGAGGCACACCCGGTCAATAGTACTGCAGGGACAGAAGGCACCGCCATCGCAACTGGAGTTAAGGAAGGCGGCGAAGAGATTGCTGCCACGCAACAACGCAATGGCGTATTTAGTGCGCTCTCCGTGCACCACATTGCTTAAAATGGCGGTCAGGGACGTGTTGAACGCGTAGTAACGTTGTAGTGTTCGATTCTGATAGCTGGCACAGCCAAGCTTCCGTACAAGGGTCGCGTGATTGAGCATATCATTCGCCAGATATGATTCTTTATGTGTTAAATGCTCATGTGGACGCCGCAGATTTCGCGGCATAGCCGGTTGCAACATGCTGGGATGGGCCAACAGATAGCCTTCGTGCTCGAACAGGAGACACTTAATATGCGGCAGCTGGCATAGCGGCGTTGTGTCCAGTATGATGCGATAGTAGAATGCATAGGGGACATCGATGGCAACTATAGCCAGCGGCTCATCCTGCTCTGCCGAGTGTAAGGCATGAGCCTTGCCCTCGAAAATTGTATGAGCTATTGTCACAATATTACCCGCTCCACCGGCATCCAAATAAGGCGCAGTGCTGACAAGTTTACCGGGTTGCGCCAGTGCCTGACGAAACCAGGGTCGTCGTGTGGCATCATAGTTGCTGCTCAGCAAGCAGCCAGGATAGATTTGAAGCACGCCATGTACGCTGGCAATATAGCGTCTTATTATGTAACTACGAAGACCTCCACGCCCATCCTGATGCCGTCTCCACAGAAGCTGCATCGCCTGGTAGAGTACATTAACCTCGTGGCGTATCCGCGGTCGAAGGCCGGGGTTTGCCAACAAACCGCTGGGGTCGCGCAAATAGGCCATGATAGCTTCCACATTGCGCAGCTGGGTGCGCGGACGATTGTTGTGCAGAAAGGTAAAAGGCGATTCAAAGGCGGCCGAGCTCAGAAACAATGTGGGTGCATCTGAAAAGAATTAATGTTGGTGTAAGCTATACTCTAGCTGCTTTAAAAACTGCTACTGACTCTAACGGACCATCTGGCTATTTTCATACTACAACGACACATCTGGCATTGACATTTAAGGTTTACGTCTGAATTTTATGGTTACAGATATTGCAAATCAAATCTACCCGTTTTTAAAACTCCATTTAACATTTCGAAAATGTTCTTTAAGGCTTAAACGCTTTTTCTAAAATCTTTTTCCACATTTAAGTTAATAGTTGTGTTACAACAAGAGAGAATGATTTAGTTTGATTTTATCAAATTGAACTCTACACGTCAACACCATTAAGATTAAGATTGATTTTAATAAATCTAATAAGCCACCCTATCTCCCTAAATAAATAAATGACTAAAGTACTCTACGCTGTTTGTTGCTAGACTTACCTAGTGTGGCCAATTGTCGAAAATAACGACACGTCTTTGGAGAACTACCCCCGCTCTTGGTTAGATCCAGACGATGATAGAGCAAGTCCATGCTCTGACTGTTGAGTTCGCCATAGTATGATTCATAGGCCGAATCTTTGATGTTGAAGCGCTGCATCGTTAATGGTAGTGTAATCGGGGCTTTATTGTTTGACGCATTATACGCTAGATTTCCGGTGCCTGTAATTTGTAGCTGCTGCATGTTTGTAGTGCTGACCAGACATATGACATATATGCCTAGCACCGACTTCCAATGATAGCTGCGTTGCAAAAGCTGTCGTCCCAAATAAATGCTGGTGGTTAAATTGCCGTTGTCTTCCCGCAGCATACGCTGCCGTATATTCACGAAATCGGTAGCATTCTCCAGATAGGAAATGTCCACCGGATATGAAGTCTGTCGCTGAATGAGCGGACGTGGAAATGCGGGATGGGCCAGTGTATTGCCAGAGCTTCTATCGAGCAAGAAAGCATAGTTTTGCGGTTGCTTGTTGTTAGGCGTAGCTGGCTGATAGTTGAGCAGATCCTCTATTAAATCATCGAGGTAGAGATTTACACCCACCACACCATATGGAGCTATGGCATGCGTGACAGCGACTAATACATCTGAAAGGCAAAACACAACTGTATATTCCAAATAACTCGAAACTCAAATGTGCGAAAAGCCTTCAATAACATAAATTAAGAATACAAACAAGGTTTACCATTCACCATTATCTTATAGAGCAAACACCTATAATATCATGTTTAATTAGAAAAAAAAAATTGGCGCACAAAATATTGTTGGTTCCAAAATTTATCCAATCCCTAAAGCATCAAATATATTCCTAAAGCTGTTGTAAATCCAACTAGTTAGACCTTACCTTTACTCTCCGAATCGACAACTGGCGCGTGGACCTCCAAAGTATCGTTTAGAAATCGTTCGGTGAAGAGTTGTCCGAAGACCCTTGTGCTGGCGCGCAGCAGTGTCTCAGGATGCATTTTGTTAAGGACAAAGAATCGGCCTGCCAGCTGCTGTCCTGTTGTCAGCCAGGCTCTCACATCAATATCGTACTTGGTGTAGTTCTGGGTGGCCACATCGCTGAGAAACTGTTTCTCATACATGATACGTTTCTCGTCGAGTATCACGGCACAGGTATTGATAATTACGGGTGCCTGCAGACGCGCCTGACCCTGCGCCACGGCACGCAGAACATACATAGCATCCGAGAGATTGGTCAGAAGGCCTCGCGTTATATATATAAATTCAATAGGTTGTGTGCTGTCGACGAGCCTGGAATTCTGCAAACGGTGCAGCAGCTGAAAAGCGTACTCAAAGCCAAGGGTATGGTTGGTAAGGACGCGCCCTGATGCCAAACTGAGATTGTTCATGTAATTCATTATTTCCTCCTTGTGTGCGCGTGTTGCGCTGTAGATGCCATAGGCGGCCTCGGCTGGAAAATTGTCCAGAAACATATAATCCACTTCGCTAGATACCGTAACCATTGCAATGTAGTCGCTATCATCGAGCAGCTGTAGCAATTGGTTTACTGTGGGATATTAAGAAAGAAGTAAGAATTTTTCTTTTTGAAATTATAGAACTTCTTTAGATGCTATTAAAAATCTGCATTCAAACGCAGTTTTCTTAGACATATTCGATGACTTACCAAAATTTTTGCTTAGTTCAAATAGTTCCGCGTTAATTGCTGATCCCACGTCGATGAGCAGAAGTACGAACTTGCGTTTGATGGCGGATACGTAGAGTTGACGAAATTGGGCACCAGCCGGGGCACCATCGCTGTTCGATAAAAAGTACAAATGCTTGACATGAGTGCCAGTCATCGTTTTACTCTCCTGTTCGTCATTTTGGATAAGGCGTTGCTTAAGCCGTGTTAACTGCTCTGTCACATAACTATTGGCGGCTAGGGAGCGCGCATTGTTCTCATTAAGGAAAGTAGCGCGTGCATCATCCGATTTTAGATAGTTTAATATTTGTATTTGCTGCTTGTTATAATGCATGCCAGAGTTAATTGACACCGCTTCAAAGTCGGCTTGGCAGTTCTCGATATGTGTGTTCAAATATAAATGCATATGCTCTGTGTTTGTTTTGCTACTGCTACCATTTAAATCTTCCATATCGAAATCGAGCTCGGTCTCACTGTCCTCTTCTTCGTCCAAATCATCGTAAACGTGTTGCTGCACTAAAACTTTGGTCAGATTGACTCGTAATAAATCGCGTAATTCTAGCACAATATGAGTGGCCTTTTCTAGCTTCTTGATCAGGCGCTTGCTAAACAATTGCAGATCATGTTGCAGCTGCACTGTGCTTTGAATGCTGTCGTTGATGTGGCTAGCGTTGTTGCCGTTAGATGCGCTGGACGGACGATAGGAAGTGGCAGCTGCGCCGCTGGTCAAATGCATTGAGTCAAAGATTTCCTGCAAGCCATAGATATTTACATACGATAGTAATGCAAAGTTTATTAAGTAAAGGTGAGTAAAGGTGATACTCACTTGAATTTTGGCTACATGCATTTCCACATTTCGAATGCTGCGTAGTTTGCCGTCAACATTTCGCACCAATTGCATTACATTTTGCTGGTTGTTGTAGTTGGCAAAGAAAACGCTTGCAGGTGTCTGCTGCATGTAGGCGGCATTGCTGTTGGGCGTAGGCACTTTGTTGCTAGTTGTCGTGTTTGCACTTGGTTTGTTTGTGTTACTTAGAAATAGAGGAACATGTTGACTGCTATTTGTGGTTACTTCTACCATCGCTGTCGCCGGCACAGCAAGAGCCAAAGCAAGCAACGTTAGTATTATTGTGCCGCTTTGCCACATATTGAATTAGTTTCCTTTACACATAATAGACAGACACATTTAAAGCATGCCTGTCCCTGTCGCATAAAAAAGTCATAGATAAGTATTGGTCGCTTGCCGCGCTCACGCATAACTTACTATCTTAACAACATGCCCAGCGCAGCACCCCCCTTCGGTACATGGTGCTGCTTGTCTTGTTTGTTTATTAACCACCCGAATTTTCTTTTCAATTGCTGTTATAGAAGCGGCGCCCGTCCCTACAACACTGCTTCTTTGTAATGGTTGCTTGAAAAACAAGCATGCGCTTTACACACTTAAAAAAACAGTGCATACAGTTTTATATTTTTAAAGGCATAGCTTTGTTAAATTTTCTTTGATGTTGTGCACATTCCAGCGCAATACAGAGTTGCTGATACTGTGCCGATAGTCTTGAAATCAATAACAGCACTATTATTGTCGATAATCGGTATCGCTATTGGGGCGGTGGGATATTTGAGATGATAGTTGAAACGAACAGAGAATGGAACATCAAGGCGCGAAAATTATTGTGGGATATTTTTATTTTATGCCGATAACAGAAGTAATATTCTTAAAGAGTGTTGAGTGCTTGTAAGAGATTTTTTTTTAATAGATGAGCAGCTGTTATATGCTCTAATTTAATTCTGCAGTGTTGTGACCTTACACATTTCATTTTTACATTCACATTTCACAGATTATTTTAAATGTTTGTTATAGCATATTCTCATAGCATATTTTCATTCTCTTTAAATACATATCATTCCAGCGGAAATTATAAAAAAATGTTTGTACAATTTTCGGCGACACTAGCGAATAAAAAAATAATGATGCCAATATGTCGAGGAACGTTTAATTAAAGAGAAATAACAAAACTTGCTTGGAAAAGTAGGCAGAACAAAATAAAACAAGAACTACATAAGCCTGATACCAATTGATTCTAGCTTGCATTATATTTAAAGGAAGTAGAAAAATAAGAGCTAACTTTAGAAGAGTTTTCAAAGAACGAAACAAAAATTAAAATAATTTAGCATGCCTCTAGCATTCCACCCGTTTAACATGTGAATGAAGTGTTGCGAGAAATGTCAGTAAGTATGTATAAACAAGGAAGGAATGCTAGAGTCGAGCGGGTTCAACTCTTAAATACTAAATACCTTAAATACTTAGTGGATTCAGATTGTCTAAGTACTGATGTATTTTATTTGTTTACGCCGCACCGTAAATTTAAAAGCAATACACACAAGGAAGCCACGAAACGTTCATTTATAATTTTGTCATAAAGCTTCGCACGATTTTTTGGGAAGGAGACAGAAATTGAAGCCATCTGAAGAATGGAATATATAATTCATGATAATTATTTATACATACATATGTAATTCCGCGTAAGTTTTTATACTAAACTCCCACAAACAGGAAGCCCACTAGATTATGAATGAACGACTGAGCACCAGTAAGCGGAAAGTAAAATTAATCACTGGCTTATTGAAATTTTGTTGTTGCTTTTAGTAGGGACATAGTGGTCTTAAGTAGTGCACCTGTGGTTTGATGAAGTTATTCATGTCACCAATCGGATTCTTCCGGATTCGACTGTTGTTTATCAAGAACTTCATTTCCTTGGGTTCATTGTTCCATAGTGCTGGCTCACTTGGCATTGAACTTTCTTAGCGGTGCTTTGCTTAGCTCGAATCGCACTAATGTTCCAAGCCGCCACTAGACATTGCCAATTATTACGTAACTCAGCCCAAAAATGTTGTCCAGCTGCCAAAAATTTGCTCATCCGTTGCGCAGGCGCATGATTTCAAGGCCAGACAATTGCATACGATTTTTGTTGGGTTATTGTCTTTTTTTTTGCTTATCGGGTACGTGACTATGTGTCCCGAGATGGAGCACAGATGTAACTAATGTGTGTCACCCCCACCTAGGCTTTAGCATATAATATGTATGCCGCACCTGTCTGGCATAATAAAATGATAACATACATAGTCAGAAGTTTTTATATAAAAATGCGTAAGTTCAGAGTTGTAAGCTGCAGTTATTTTTGCAACGTTGTTCGGAATGTTACTAAAAGTGTGTATATAGTGTTAAATAGCTGAAAAGAAAATTTAAAATGTGAGTGTTTTTCAGGTGCTTATTCTAGGTGTTGCTGTTGTAGCCGTCTTGGGTGAACCACCTGTCTCAGGCAATCATCGACGTGCTCCCTATCCTGCCGCTGGCTGGCGACCTCGAGTGCCCTTCAATCTGCCTAGGGAATATTTGCCGTCAAATGAGGAACCGGCAGAGCCGCAGCGACTGCGGCCCAGCGTGGAGGTTACCAAAGAGCGCGTTGACTTTGCTGGACAATTGTTGGGAACCGGTGCACTGAATGAACCTCAATCTAATTACTTGCCCCCTCGGTTAGATGTGCCCAATGAACAGGCCTTGCCGAGCCCAAATGAAGCTGAACTTTTTAATAGGGAGAGGAGCACTAATTCTCCTATAAATACACAGCAACCTGCCGCTCAGTATGGCCCACCAACTAACCTAGGTTTTAGAATAATCTATCCTGATGATGACGACACATCCAAAGAGATATCTGACACTGATAGACTTCGGCCGGCAGGTCAGTATGTGGACTTTAAAGAAGGTCGGTACTATATTGTTTCACCAGACAATAAATTGCAACGTGTAGTTTATCGGACTGTCCAAAATGCGGACGAACCGACAGGGGATGGCTTTACAGCACAGCTTAAATATTCAACTATTGGCGAACTTCAAGATCCCATCTACAAATACAACAAAGAAGAGCAGCTGGTACGAGTCTTAAAATGAATAATTGAAGTGCTTTAACAAGCTGATTTGTATTAATAACAAGAAAGGAATGCTAAATTCGAGCGAGCTCAACCTGTACCACTCCACAAAAAAAAAATAAAAATAAAAAAATAATTTAAAAAATTAAATAAATTTTATTAATTAATTTAATTAAATATAAAATATTTATGACATGCATACACACATAAGTGTTTATGTACAGTTTCAACAGCATACATTTACATCACAATCGTGTCTATGCGTGCTTGTATGCAGTAAAGAATTAAGTCAAAGCAATAACTAACTGGATATAACTACCGAATTCAATTTGGAAATTCCAAGAATTACGGGTTATAAAAAAAATCACAAACAGCGTGAGGGGGGGGGGGGGGAGGTGTGCATCTGAAAAAAAACACAAAAATAGGAGAATTTGGACTCCAAGTTTGTACTTGTACTTTCTGAGATCCTTGCATCCATGCAGACGGACATGGCTATATCGGCTCGTCTTGTCATACTGATCAATAATATATGTACAAGTATATACTTTGTGCGCTCTGTCACGCCTCCTTCTGTGTGTTACATACATTCGCACAAAACTAGTATAGCCGTTTAGCCTTTGGGTACAGGCTATAATAAAAGAAGCTAATCTCTAAAATAGGTAAATAACTATTCGTTCACATTTGTAGGAAAAAGGAAGTTTTGTTAAGTTTTTAACATTTTTTAAAATGCTTCTTGAGTCCATGCAATTTATTGCTGAATGTGTTGCCGAGCCCATTTATCCTTGGATTCGAATATCCCATGTGGAATTGGAACAACGTTATGTAAATGTATAAAAGTGTTTTATACAAAGACGATTTCTTCCAATATTTAACTTTTAGCCCTAAGTAACCATCGACAAGGTCGTAGGCAGCTTTTACCAAAAGGGGAGGGGGGTGCCAAAAATTAAAATGTTGATTAAATAATGCACGATGCATTTAAAAAATAACTTATGCATACGATCAATGAAAAACCTTTAACAAATCTAACTTAGATCCATTTTAAGGCGAAATAATGCGTCATAATAATGAACGTGTGATCGACTTTATATGGCAACATTTTTTCTAGGGGGGGGGGGCCAACGGCCAACCCTCCCCTCCCTGCCTACGCCCTTGACCATCGAGATCCATGTGAGTAACCATCGAGATACATTGCTAAAAAGGAGAAATGAAATTTGTGGTCGCTGTTTTTTTGTTTTTTGACTTTGTTTTATACAAAATGCTTCTTTATTCATTATTATTAAATATACACAAAAAATTTAATATGTTTTTTTTACACATTTTTTGTCGGCTTCTTTATGAATTCTATGCATTTTCATTAATTAAAATTAAATACAATGTTGATGTATGTAGGTATGTATGTAAAATGCGTGTATGATGGTCACATTTTTAGCATAGCACATGTATGTGCCTATGGTGTGTGTGTGTGTGCGTGTGTGTGCGTAGACTTACACAAAAATGAAAGCGCTTAACAAACAATCGGCGAAGTACAAGATGAAACATGTCAGGCTTGGTGGACAGAGGAAGAACAGGAACAGAGAGTGGCGAACGTAGTGGCTATGGCAAAATCACGTTCAAGTAAAGAGACAGACATAGACACAGAGCGTGTAAGAGAGGCGAGATTTGTAATCCAAGACTGTGCCTGGAAAACTTTGGATGCTGGCCAATGCTCAATGAATGCTCCTAATACTTAGCATGGCAGCGGTGGCTGAAGAATAGAACTGCTGGTTGAGACTTAAATTGGAGAAAACTAGAGAACAAGTTTTGGGAGAGGGCGCCACACACTTATTGATAGCCGCCGAACTTTCCCTGCGCATTGTTGTCGTAGCCACCGGCACCACCGCCATTGTTGTAGCCACTGTTGCGTCCACCGTTGCCGTTGCCATTGCCATTGCCCGTCTGCTCGTACCGAATGGTGGGACGATAGCCGTTCTGGTCAGCCTCGTATTCCACAATCTGTTTGCGACCATCGGGTAACAGAACGTAATAGCGGCCCACAGCCAGGTCGCCGTCGCGGGATTCCATATGGCCGAAGTCATTGCCCGACTCGTAGTCCTGCACGTCATATTTGAACTCGTATTTAGCTGGACCGTATTGCTCCTCATCGCGCTGACCGCCATAGCCGCCACCGTTACCACCGCCATAGCCGCTGGATGCGCCACCACCGTTCTGACCCTTGAATATAGCCGATGTTAGGGAGGGAGCGCCATAGTTGCTTTGGGGCTGTGCAACGGGGGCGCCGTAGCTGTTGCTGGGCGGGGCAGCGGCGCGCTGGGGTGGCAGATAGTTGTTGGAGGGTGTCTGGTAGTTCTGAGTGGGGGGCAGGTAGTTGTTGGATGGAGCCTGTGGAGCCTGGTTGGGCGGCAGGTATTGATTCTGTGGCAGTGGTGGCTCGGCGTGCGTTAGAGCGGCCAGGCAGGCAAACAGCGCGATCGATGCAAAGCACTGCAAGGAGATGAAGAGGGAGTTAAGTTATTTATCATTGTTTTGGGGACTTTTTAAAACATAGTAACAGATGATGAACATCGTAGCAGATAAACTAAAAAACAAACAAAATTGTAGCTTTTATCTCTTAGATAGATATTTTTTCCGCTTCATAAACTGTTGCATACAATGACCGACTCTGAGGAGACCGCTTGGATACAGTGGTTTTGCAAGCAGCGGGGCAACGAGTTCTTTTGCGAAATCGACGAGGACTACATACATGACAAATTCAATTTAAATTTCCTGGACTCGAATGTAAGCAACTACCGACGAGCGCTCGAGGTCATCCTTGATCTCGACAACGAGCCGGAGTCGGATGCGCCCGCAGAGGCGGAAGTAGAACAGAGTGCTGAGAAGCTTTACGGCCTGATACATGCGCGCTTCATATTAACCAATCGTGGCATCGAACTCATGCTGGAGAAATACCAAAAGGGTGCGTTTGGCACGTGTCCCCGGGTATTTTGCCAGCGTCAGCCAGTGCTCCCCATTGGGTTGAGCGACACGCCCGGCGAAGATATGGTACGCATCTATTGCCCCAAATGTAATGACATCTATGTGCCCAAGGCGGCAAGACATTCGACTATCGATGGCGCCTATTTTGGGACTGGGTTTCCGCACATGCTGTTCATGGTGAATCCTGAGGTGCGCCCCAAGCGCGCCAAGCAAAAGTTTGTGCCCAGGTGAGTGAGTGGCGAGTGGAAATAAAAAGTCTCAAGCTATTTGTATTACTTAGAGTTTCGATGGTATAATGCTGCCACCCTCTTTCTAGGCTCTACGGTTTCAAGATTCATCAATTGGCCTATCGCTCACCGGGTGATTTTGCCGCCTACCTCAAGGAACAGGCACACGAAGAGAGCAACTGATGTATAATCCCCACTTTGGACCTCGTTTTAGTAAAATTTTGAAGTATGATTGTTCACTGCAACCAAAATATAATTAAAAAGCGAATGCGCTGCTAAACAAAAATTTGCCTCAAACTCATGCTCGTAATTAGCCGAACATTAGCATCTTGCGGGGCTTGCTGGGAGCTGTTTCTAAATCTGTTAACAATGCAGTTTTTGCAATTGTTTTTACTCTAATATGTTTATATAAATTATGCTTTGTTTTGTGGAAAAAAAAACACAAAAACGAAAACAAAAAATGACGACAGTTAACTGTGGCTCTGGGTAAATATGCAAATCTGTGGTAATTGGGTCGCAGTTTTCAATTTGCTTGCCTTTGTCGGCGCAAGAAGTGAAGGGAGTGCTACAAGTATATGCTATATGGTGGTGAGTTGCACAACTTTGAATTATGACGTATAAAGTCGCTTAGGCTTTGCAGACACTCGCATTTACTCGCATGGCTCGTAAATATTGAGTGCTCTTAGAAGCTTCTGTGGCTGCTTAATTGAGTGGCGCCGCAATTAGCTTTGAATCAGTCTTAATGTTTTTATGGGCAGATGTTGAAAATCTGCAGCTGTGTTTGCCACGAAAATATATTTCACAGCCTCCATTTTCATACCCTAAACTGTTCTCTATGTGACTACGAAAAGATATATAGGTACGAGAGCATGTTTTTTTTTAAACAAATATGCTGTCAACAAACTCGTACTTGAAAACATCTTCAAGTCGAGGCATCAAGACAAGACAAACTTGTCCAGGCAGTACACGGTTGTCATGTAGCTAGCGTTTGATAAGTTTGACTTGATCACAGATTAGAAAACGGCTGTACTGCGTCTCAGTTCCGACTTCGAGTGCGACTTCCACTTTTCGCAATGTCGCTGCTTTTGCACAACTGGCAGAGAAGCCCAACTTCTGGGCATTATTTATGCAACCTCTTCTGTTTGTCCATCTAACCCGGCTGCCACCGTCAATGACTTTCATGCTTCATTGGCGTTAAAATGCTGCAGGCGAAAAGCTTGTACAATTTTGCCGATGTTGTTTGGGTTGTACTTGATGTTTATGTTGCTGTTCGTGTATTATCGCTCCTTGGTCATCTCTTGTGCAGTCCATACTTGGGCATGCATTCTGCCACTTGCTTGTACTATTTACTTTTAATTAATGCATTGCAAAATAAACAATACCATTGTCTGTTGCTTCGGTGTTACACACTCTCACACCCCACACTCCAGCTGAAAGGAACTAGCACTGGACCGCCATTTATTAACCCTCAGTTATGTGGCTAAAAAACGCTCCGATATTTTATGGAAATTTTGCGCGGCAACTCCTACAAATTTCAAACAGTAGTCGCTACAAATTGATGCTGTTGTACATACTATACATATATGTATATTCGTTATTATATCTTAATGGCGCCGCTAAAAGACCAAATTTATTATTAGCATTTGCTAATCTCATGTATGTTTTTGGTTGTTTGTTTGATTAATTGAGCCATTGATCTTGAGTTAATTTCATGCTCGTTTCCAAGCATTTGAATACTTGTATGAATCGAAATATTCAAAGAAGCTAATGTTAGGATTTAACAATTGAAGTAAATTAAATGCTTTCAAGTATTTAGGGCTTACTAAGTTTGAAAAGCGGATAAATTCCTAATATTTGTCGCATGCTTTGTGCTTTTAAATACAATTAAAGATACCCACGAAACGGAAGAGATATCATTAGTAGAAAATTCACTTTTCGAGTCTTACTGCTCAATTAAGCTTTCATTAATATATGTTATATTTTTTTGAACTGGATATTAAAATTTATGCAAAATTTTAATTAAATTCTTTTGAATATTTAAGCAAACTAGAGGTGGACAAATATTTGAGATTTGTATATTTTTAAATGTATCCTTCGGCCAGGATTTGGGTACACCACACAACACGAAAGACATTTTTTGTAGCCGATTATATATATTTGAGTATGTATTGTTTGTATGTACGAGTATATACCTTCATTTTGTGTAATCACTTGAGTTTGAACGAAACACACACGTAACGGTTTAAAGACACAGCACCAGATGCGTTTTTGGTGTTCTTCTTGCGAAGATGGTTGATTTGATTGTGATACTGAAACAATTTCGTAGGCCAGTATTTATATTTGAAATGGTGCAGTCGCCGTTGCCATCGTTGCCATCGTTGGCACCGTTGGCTTTGCAGCAGCGGTAGCAGCAGCAACAACAAAACTGCGCGCCAAATTTCAAGAGTCGAAGAGCATGAGCTTCAAATAAGTAGAAGACGAAGCAACATACCCAAAAATACATTACAAAATAATATACATACAATAATAATAACAACAACAACATGACGCTTTTTTAATGCAAACTGTGAGCGGCAGCGGCAACGGCAACGGCATCAACATCAGCAACAATAGCAACAGCAACAGCAGCAGCGCTGGCGTTCGCGTTCGCGTCGGCATCGCTCTCAGCATCGACGCGTCGTTTGGCTTGAAGTGCCACTGAAAATAAACGAACACGACGAGATGGCAAGCAGACAAACACAACGAAGCTTTACTGTTATAGTAAACTAGTTACTTTTAAATTAAAGCGCCAAACATTTGCTGTCGACTTCAGGACGATGATGCTGATGATGACGACGACAATGACGACGCTCGAAATTTGTTAAGCGCTACCCATGAAGATGAGCGTCGCACATTCAAATAAATGAGCAACGCGGGAGCAATGCGAAATGCGCTCCCGACATGCCATAGGCACTGTGTTTATTGCAGTAGTAGTAGTTGTTGTTGTTGGTGTTGTTATCTTTGGGCTTTAAGAGGCTGCCTTAGCGGAGACCATTTGCAATGCTATTGCTCATATAGATGTGTGAGTGTGTGTGTGTGTGTGTGTGTGCATATGTGAGCGTTTGCTGAGAGCGAGCGGAACTGGTGCAGTAATACCTGTGTGCCTGGCCACGCATCATCTTCTGCAGCCGACTTTGAGGCGGCTCGGCTCAGCTCAGTCGTGCGGCATCGCAGCTGCCATGCAGTTGGCGTGCAGCAAACAAAAGACTTAAGACACGAACCTGTGCATCATGTGTTAAAACAAAGCATTGTAATGTTCTTCCAATTATTGTTGTTGTCTGCGCTGCTTTTGTCGCACAATCGCCTCGTAATTTTATTACAAATTAGCTCTTTTTACTGTCGGGCATCGCGTGGGCGTGGGACTTTTGTTTGTATCCAAAATGAAATGAGATATAGATTCAGATGGACTGACGCGAAAAGTAATATGCAATTAAGTGTGAGCATTGCATTTAATGAGATTGAATGAGGTCACACATGCCTATTGCTGCAGCCAGTGCGCCCAAGGAGAAGGAGGTTTATTGGCCTGCTCCACTCCCCACTTCACTAGAAAACAAAACACATAACTGTAGCAAAATTTGAATAGCATTTCAAACATTCATCAATATTACATAATTTGCTTGACGCGTTTGTGGGTGTAGCATTTATCAGATTTTCAAAATCAAACTACAAACATTTTGAATGTCGTTCGTTAAGCTGAAAATTGACTTTGACTTTTGAGATTTTGGCTTTTGTGCTATATTCGTGTACTCTGAAAAATTTAAATGCGTAATAATTATTATTGGCATTTTGGCAAACAATTTTAATTGTATGTGTATAATAGAGTTTTTTATTTTTGATTATTTATTGGCACGAGTTAGGTGACTTTCACAATGTTGAATGCTTGACTTATAACTACTGTACAATATGCAACAAAATAATTGTGACGCCCTAAATAGGTTTACGGCATTGAAGCTTGTTATTTGAAAGCCATTTTATTTAGCATACACTTTGCAAAACAAATAAAATAAGGAAAATAACACAGACTTATTGCCTTGATAAATGATAGTATTGAACAGAATACTAGTTATTATATTTCATTTTTGCAAAATAAGAATAAGATCATTCTTAATCTTTTGGGGTAACTCAAATTGTAGGAAAATTAATAATAAATGTGTTTACTTTCACTCAGAAAGTACAAGTATAAGTTTAAAATGGTGGCCAGGGGTCTTTTTAAACAAAGTGTAAAACGTAAACAGTAAACCATTTATATCGTGCTTCGATTAAAAAAAGGATGATTTAAAGGGCATAGGAAATTATACTCTATTACGTTATATTGAAAATTTATTAGTGGACCCAAAACGGAAGTTTCATATAATATTTGAGACTCGTTCGTTAGAAATGAGAAAGCTACCAAAATTATTCCCATTTGGTTAGGAAACTATCAGCAATACAAAATTTACAAAAACGAAAACTTTGAGAATAGTTTGCGTAAAAACAAGCTGTGGAAAATCTTCCATTAATATTTGTAAAATAAACTCTTGGCATATGCCCCTGAAAGAATGACAGAAATATTAAAAAACATTTACTGAAAAAGTCAATGCTGTAAACCATTATTAAATAATTATACTTTATATGAGCATAATAAAATATAATTCAATCGTTATGTCAGTTACATAAATGCAGGAAAATTTTAGACAGCAATAATACGAAGCGCCTTTTCAGCGTACAAACGTATTAAAAATCATTTAATTTCCTGCATACTTGTATATCAGCAGCAACTTTGCCAGCTAATTTACATTGAACGTGCCAAGCTAATGGCACCCTACAAAGTGATGATGCGCCAACTGAAACACAATTTGATTTGAGAGCGGACCTTGAAATATTTGTTTTGTAACCTAGAACGATGACGAGTGGAACGTACCAGTAATTTAAATTAAACTACAATAATTTCATTGCGAGTTGGGCCCGCACACAGGCAGCGAAGACCAGAAAATCAATTAAGGCATTTCGATGTAAATTACGCGCACTTGAATCTAAAATAGAAGATGCTGTTGATAATGTTTGATGTTTATAATTATGACGATGATGATGTTTATGATGTTGATGAACAAAGACGTCGTTGAAGGGGGCGCCGCACAATGCTTGATTCGAGCACAAATCAAAAAAATATTCGAAAGTATTTTCGTGTGTGCGCGCATTCCTTGGCCAACTGCATTTTTTGTCCGTTGTTGGTGCAGTTGTGGCTGTTGTTGCTGTTGTTGCTGTTTG